GGGGAGTCCGTCGTCATTGCTGCCGCTGGGGATGCTTCTGCCTATGCCGTGAATCGTCCGCAATTTCAGCAGCGCATCCCAGCATCTGAACTCATCTGCCATCATTGCCGCGAAAAGGGTCATCTGCAGAAGCATTGCCGCCGCAAAAACTACTGTGTTTATTGCAAACGACCTGGGCACATTGTCTTGGAATGTCGGAGTCGGCAGAGGAATGAGGCGCGAAATGGTACTGCATCTGAAGGGGGTTATACTGCTGGCGGCCCATCTCGATCAGGAGGGACATGGCAATCCGAATATGGTGATCGTGGTGGCGATAGGACTGCTCGCCCCACCTATGCTACCACGACAGTGGAGGGTTCTACCTCCAATGGTGGACACGCAAGTCTGTCTGCAGCCGATATTGAGCAATTGGTGAATGCTGCACTCCAAAAATCTCTACCTACAGCTATTGGCGCTGCCTTTGCCACTCTGCAGGGATCAGGTAACCAATCTCCTTGGCTTTTAGACTCTGCATGTTTCAATCATATGACCTCTAATGCAAAGTATCTTGAGCATCTTGTTCCTGTTCGAAACATGGCGCTGCAAGTGGCTAATGGCGAGCAATTACATGTTAAAGGGGTTGGTTCTATCACCAATCCACATATATCGTTATCCGATACTCTCCATGTCCCTGCCCTTGTCCCAAATTTAGTCTCTATTGGTCAACTCACTGATAGCGGCTGTTCTGTGTTGTTTGCACCGTCTGGATGTGTTATACAGGATTTGAAGACGGGGAGGCAGATCGGAAGGGGGAGTAAACGAGGGAGAGTCTTTCACCTGGAGGAGCTTCAAGGTTCATCAGTTTCGTCTGTCGTCAGTAGTCATTTCCGTAGGCCTGTCATTAGTCCTGTTCCGTCTTTGTTGTCTGCTCCTTTCAGTTTTTCGAGTCAGCCTGACAGTGGTTGGAGTCTTTGGCATTCTCGGTTAGGTCATCCTAATAATGATCGTCTTGCTATGATGTTTCGCCAGTCGTTGCTTGGTAAAAATACTGTTGATTTGTCGTCCAAACATTATTGTACTAGTTGCGTTGAAGCAAAAACTGCTAGTATTTCTTTTCCTCCCAGTAATACTGTCATCAGTGAACCATTTCATATCATTCACACTGATCTGTGGGGCCCTGCTCCTGTTCTTTCTCGCCGTGGATATAGATATTTTGCTCTGTTCATCGATCATGCTACGCGTTTTACTTGGGTCTATTTTCTGCGATTGAAGTCTGAACTTCGTTCTGTCGCTATTGAGTTCCTCAAAATGATTCAAACTCAGTTTGGTCGCCCAGTAAAAATTATCAGATCGGATCCCGGAGGAGAATTTAGTTCTATCCCTTTACATGATGTCTATCGTTCTATGGGGGTTTTAAGTCAGATGTCCTGTCCAGGTATTTCTCAACAAAACGGTCTTGTAGAACGTAAAAATCGTCACGTTGTAGAACTTATGCGTGCTCTCTTGTTAGATTCCCGGGTTCCTGGTAGCTTTTGGCCTGAAGCAGTAGCTACTGCAGTTCGTCTGATCAACTACCAAATCACTCATGTTCTCCGTCATACCAGTCCCTACTTTGCTCTGTATGCTCGTCATCCTGATTATTCGCGTCTTCGAGTCTTTGGTTGTCTGTGCTTTGTTCTTCTGCCTAAACGTGAACGTACTAAGCTTTCCTCTAAGACAGCCAGATGTGTTTTTGTGGGTTACAGTGATGTGCACAAGGGTTACCTTTGTTACGATCCTGCTTTGCAACGTATGCGCATCGCTGCCACTGTTGTCTTCTTTGAGCATGTCATGTATCATTCCATTGAGTCCTCTCCTTCCCGTATTCCGTTCCCTGGTCCTTCCTTGCCTGTCCTAGATGACCTTGATGGTGATGCGCCTGACCTCCCTCCCGACGATCCTCCAGACACCCCTTCCCAGCACGATCTGCCTTCCCCCGAGCCTTCGTCTCCGTTCACGGCCAGCTCCTCTTCGGCTAGCAGCTCACAAGGCTCCACTTTGTTTCCCGACAGCTCCGCCAGCCCAGCTGCTCCTTCTTCTCCTGAGCACTCGCCCTCGCCCCAACCTACTGCTCCTCGGCGATCCCTTTGTGTTACCAAGGGCGTCCCACCACCGCGATTTCAGGACTACATCGCTCACGGGGTTCAGGCTATTTCTGTTCCTACCCGTTTTAAACAAGCACAGGGTGATCCGGTCTGGGATCATGCCATGAAACGCGAGTTGGAGGCCCTTCATGCCAACAATACTTGGACTTTGGTTCCTCGTCCTCCACCGGGTACCTCAGTTGTTGGCTGTCGCTGGGTTTACACGATTAAGATGAATCCGGATGGTACAGTTGATCGTTACAAGGCTCGCTTGGTTGCTCAAGGCTTTACACAGGAGTTTGGGGTTGATTATAATGAAACTTTCGCTCCGGTGGCCAAGATGTCTACTGTTCGTACACTGCTTGCTGTTGCTGCTCAACAGAATTGGCCACTCTACTAGATGGACGTTAAAAATGCTTTTCTGCATGGTGATTTGGATGAGGTTATTTATATGGAATGCCCTCCTGGTTATACAGAGGGTACTTCTGATCAGGTTTGCCGTTTAAATCGTTCCTTATATGGTCTTAAACAGGCCCCCATGGCTTGGTTCGAGAAATTTCAGTCTACCATTTCTGCTCTGGGCTTTCGGCAAAGCTTGAGTGATCCATCCTTGTTCACTCGTTCTACCTCAGCTGGCATTGTTGCTTTGCTTCTCTATGTTGATGATATGGTCATCACTGGTACTGACTCTGCCGGTATTCGACGTCTTAAGGAGGGTCTTCATGCTTCTTTTGACCTAAAAGACCTGGGTGATCTCTCTTATTTCCTTGGCCTTGAGGTTCATCGTACTTCCCAGGGTCTTTTACTGAATCAACGGAAGTACATTACTGATCTGCTCGAGGATCATCACTTTGCAGATTGCAAACCGGTCACTACACCGATGGAGCTTAATTTACGGCTTGGCCGTGACTCTGGCACTCAGCCTGTTGATGGGTCTACTTATCGTAGCATTGTGGGTAGCCTTATTTATTTATCTGCCACACGTCCTGATATTTCCTATGCAGTTCAGCTTGTCAGTCAGTTCATGTCTGCTCCTCGTACTGATCATCTTGTTGCTGTTCATCGTATTCTTCGGTATCTTCAGGGTACTCGTGATGTTGGTCTGTTTTTTCCTTCTCATGGATCTATTGGTTTACGTGCCTACTCTGATTCCGACTTTGCCGGCTGTATCGACACTCGTCGTTCTACTTCTGGTTGGTGTGTTCAATATGGTGAGGCTTTCATCTCCTGGAGGTGTAAGAAGCCGGACAAGGTGTCTAAGTCTTCTACTGAGGCCGAGTACCGTGCTATGTCTGAAGTTGCTTCTGAGCTGGTTTGGCTGCGCCGTCTCCTGGCGGATTTGGGCATGGATTGTGCAGTGCCTATCGATCTTTTTGTTGATAATACCAGTGCTATTCGGATCGCTGTCAATCCGGTTCTTCACGATAGGACGAAGCACATTGAGATTCATGTCCATTATATTCGTGATTTGGTTAGAGATGGCATGATTTCTCTTCATTATATTCGGACTGAGGAACAGGTTGCTGATTTGTTGACCAAGGCTTTCCCTTCGAGTCGCCACTGGTATCTGTCTAGCAAATTGATGCTCTCTACTCCGCATCAATTTGGGGGAGGCTGTTAGACGAGAGTATAGCTCGTTTTTCCTTTTCCTTTGTTGTACTTTATGTACTGGGCCTTATGTACTTTGGACGGCTTGTGTTTGGGCTTAGGTTAGACCCATGCAACCCATGCAAGGAGAGGAGCCGTACGTGTAGATACCTCTCCTAGGGTTCGGTTGGCTAGAGAGTAGTATTTCTACTTGTTTTGGGCGACAGTAGAGGGACACGATACATACTGTAAACTCTGATCAGTCTAGTGAATTGGTGCTCGAAGAGTTCTCAACTCTTCCGTGGATTAGTCCTGGAATTCCAGGGATACCACGTAAATCGGTCTGTCTGTTACTTTCTGTTTACCGTTTGTGATTGCGTTACAGTACCATCACATAAGGTACAAGTTTAAGTTGTACCATAAAAGAATTTGTACAAAAAGTATAGGTACAATCTAAAGTTGTACCATAACGTTAAAGGTACAATTTTAAGTTGTACCATAAAGACAAAAACCTATAGCACTGGTGCTATATAGCATTGTAAAATTCCTCCAACTTAAAATAACCAACAAATCAAAATTAAAATAACCATGATCCTCTTTAAGACCAAAACTTTTATCGTGTATTATGGGATTGAGTTGTTTTGTTTTCCTTCTTCTTAAGCCCAATGACAGTGATGTGTAGCTCTAATCCTCTCAATATTGAATTTAAATTATAAAATGTGAGTGATATAATATTCAAATATTGAAACTGAAACGATAATAACCTACCAATCCCTTCTTATCCAAGAGGCGAGTTTAACATTTTATTTTGTTTATGTATTTTATCACTAACTTTAACCTACATAAAATTTATATTTTTTTTATCTTGGAATCATATTTTTTCCGTTAGTTGTTAACTCTAAATTAAATTTGTACTCAACCTGTGATGGATGTTCACATTCTCACATTATCATTAGGACAACTTCTTCAAATATGAAATCATCATTTTATACTTAGTTTTGTTGCTTTGTATTCCACTAAATTGTTAAATTGTAATGTGTTTTTCATTAAATGAAGAAATTTTAATTTCTTGCACATTATCTTAAAATGATAATGTAATTTTTGATGATTTTTAAAAGAAATTAATTGGAAAAAAAAATGAATCACACGATAACCGGCCAACCGGCCGGGGCCGCAATCTAGTGGGATGTTCAAGCAAAGGTTAGGAAAATGAGTTGGGCTTGTAGGTTTTGGGTTTCAAGTTTTATAGTTTTGACAACTGAGCTTTTTTACCACGATCCAATTACTCACAGCCCAAAAGGAAAATAACCACATTTTCCTCGCTTTTCCAATCACTTGCATTTTCTGAAAGCTTCTCTCCTCTAGAGTCTAGACCTCTAGTGTTCCATTCTCCAGCCCCATCTCCATGATCGTCGCCCAAACTTCAGTCCCGGCGCATAAAAATGAAACCCTAAATCCTGCGTTGTGTGGAATGCAGCGTTCCTTAATCTGATCAAATGCCCATAGCCTTCTACTTAACATCCAAGTTTCTCCTCTATTGGATCGCAGCAGAGAGCCGATTGGTTTGCAACTCTGTTGGCGCGGAATACGGCGGCAGCCTCCGTCAGCAGTGATCGAAAACAGGTGGATTCCTGTTTCTTCTTTCTATTCTTTCTCAATTTTTGTATCTGATCCCGTGATCCCGTGATCCCTTTTCCATTTTTAGGGTAGAACTGAATTGATCAAATAGACAAGCGATGAGCATTCATTGTACTTGCTGCGAGTTGGGGAAAATGGGAAATAGGCACAGTGGGGAAGAAGATACCAGCAGTGCTGACAGGTTAAGCCATCTTCCAGAACCGATTCTTCATCACATCCTTTCGTTCCTCGACACCAAATCCGTGGTTCAGACCTCGGTTTTGTCTCGGGCATGGAACCGCTTGTGGAAACATGTCCCTGTCCTTGATCTACGCCGCCTTTCCTTCCAGGAGTATGCGAGTTTCCAATGGTTTGTGTATATGGTTTTGGACCTCCGGTATCCTCTTAGTCTCCACAGGCTGAGCTACAGGGACAACTACGAGTGGTATAAGCAGAGCGGCGAGGAAAGTGAGACGTTTATCTCGGAGTTTCGAGATGTCGCTATGTGCATCGAGGTCATCCAATATGCTTTATACTATGATATTGAAGATTTACTGATTGACCTGGACAATGAATACAAGGACATCTATCAGGGTGACAAGTTTACGGATTTGTTCGGCACGATCTCGAACTGCAACCTCAAAACTCTAGAGCTAACATACGTCTGCATCAATGACGGTCTTGGATCTTGTGGTTTCGGAGTGCTGACAACTTTAAACTTGCGACATTGCTCTTTGGCTTCTGATCAATACGTTGACTTCTTTTCTAACTTCCCCTCTCTGAAGCATTTAGCCATGAGTGTTTGCCAACCTTGGGACTACTCAAACTCTATCGAGGATGATAGGGGTCTTAAGATATCTGGACCCCAATTGCTTAGCCTGCAATTGAATTATATGGTGTGTTACAAGATGGAAATATTTGCACCGAGACTCAAATTCTTCAGTATTGTGCATGACTTGAACTCCCTGGTATCCATCAAGTTAAGCTTTCCTTCCCTCTATCATGCTGCCATCGCGGTCGAGGATTGGGCCAATTTCACGAAAGACAACAAGGAATTGGGGGCACAACGCTTCATCTCTTTGTTCCGAGGTTTGAATAACGCATCTTATCTCAGCCTGGATTTTGTCACCGTCAGGGTAATCCTTTGCCAGATAATGCTTTTGTAATGTAAGTGTTTCTTCTAGGAAATATTGCCTTGCATTTTTAACTTGGCTTCTGCTCGGTGTAGGCGCTGGGTAAAGTTACCGAGTTTCTGGAAGGAGAAAAATCCTCTCCCTTTACGAAATTGAAGTCCTTGATCTTGAAGACTATTGGAGGACGAGACAAAGTACCCGATGAACTGGTCAATTACTTTCTTAAAGGGCCATCTAGTATGAACCCAAATGTTGAGTGTATCTGGCCCTGCCGTGAACCATTTTGCCATGGTTGCTGATTGTGGTACGCAAATCGGTTGACTTTCTTTATTAGCAGATCATTTGCCAGTAGGCAGTAGGTGAATTTCGCAAGTAACTCACAAGAGCTACTCAAATTGTTTTGACTGATATATATACCATTGTATGGGGCCGGCGACATTGTTGGTCGTCAAATAAATCTGAGTTTGAGGGACTCACCTTTCCCGCTTAATTGAGATTTATTAAGACAGTACTTCAGCTGGAATGGTCTCTCTGAATAGTTTCTTTTGGATGACATTATGTTAGGTCGCTTACTGGTCTAGAAACGGCAGATTGAATGCTTGGATGGTGGAAATGTACTGATGGAATACCACTTGATTGGTTATGTGTTTCCCTTGTTTTACTGCTTCTAAGTTCTAACAACTCTTATGGAGCTTCGTAGTAGACTCTGGTTAACTGTCAAGTGTACAGCAACGCTGATGAATCTTGAGCATGTGCGCGAAGTTGGAGAATGTTGCTTGCCGTGCATGTAATAGCTTGTTTTTGCCTAAGTTACAGACTTATGATGCCATGTGAGCTGTCTTCTCAAACTGATGGTGTCTGGCCAAACTTTTTACTTGTTGCATTAGCTATAAATCTAGCTGCAGTTTTTTAGTTTTTACACCTTGAGATGATATTCATATTATTGTGATAGGCAACTTATTGTTCTAGCAATAGCAGATTGAATGCCTGAAACGTGGATATGTTCTAGTTATCGAGTCTGACTACGAACCATAGAAACTTCCTCTCGCGGCTGTTGGGGCTTGTGCTGTGTGTTATGGCGCCTGCTAAACTGCACTCTGGGCTGAGGTTATCAGAGCAATATGAATTGAATGAGCCATGTGCTGCTTCTCTGTTCGAGAAACGGAAAACTAGGAAGCAATTTTTGGATTTGGCGGGTGTTGATAGTTGGTGAATAAAAAAAGAACCGAGTGCTCAAAAGGGGTAAACTACATCCTTTTTTTTACCATTGCATCACCGCTTGCTGGATGGTAAAGATTTTATTTTGCAAATAAGCCGAATTGCTCACGAGTTAGTTAGGCGTTCAGCTCGTGAAAATCTTGTTCGACATTTGGTTCGCTTATTAACGAGTTGAATTTGAGTGAAATCTTATTCGGCTCTCAATGCTTGTGAACTAGCTCAATTCGATGGTTTGTAGAGCTAAAATCGTAAATTATGAGCTGACTCAATAGCATTACTAGCTAGCCATGTCAACTGGTAACTTATGAACAAATCGATTAATAATTTATCATTGGCTTGTTGATGATACATAAATTTATTAGTTAGATTATATATCTCAGGGCATATGATCTTTAACAATTTGAGCACGTAATCGAATATGTTCCATTTATAATTTTCTCTAATGTATAATAATTGTGTCATATACTGATAACTATTAAATAACATAATATGAAACCGATCTCTTTTGCCAAGTTTTCCTATCAGAAAGCTCAAAGCTGGGGTTGGGATACGGTCACATCCCCTAAGAGGGATGTGAGATTCACATCCAAGGGCAATTTGGGTATGAAAAAAAAAAACAGAATTTATTATTTATTTATTTTTGTATTAATTACAGATTGGGAATTAAAAACCCAGATTAAATACTTTTTAATTCAAATCCTACAATTAATACGCTTATATATCTCTCTCTCTTTCTTTTCAAGTAACCTCTTCACTCCGACCACCAAAGTTTCTCTGGCCGACGAATTTTTCCGGTGAAATCCTCCAATCATACTCGATCCGGCCAACTGCAAAAAAATCACTCCGTCAGTGTGCTAGTGGTACTGATTTTCATCTAGTGGTACGCTACCAGTAGTTGTGGTACGTACTAGTGGTAGTGGTACGCTACCACTACCACTGGTACCGCTACCAGTGAATAGTGGTACGATACCACTACCACTGGTAGCGTACCACTAGACAGAAATCAGTATCACTATTCACTGGTACCGCTACCACTGAGTACTGTAACGCTACCACTACCACTGGTAGCGTACCACTAGACAGAAATCAGTACCACTAGAGAATAACATAAAAAAACAAGATCTGGAATCTGGAAAATCCCAGATCTGAAAAAAATTAAGGAATGAGGAAAGGAGAAGGAAGGGGAGAGGTTGTTACCTAGCGGCGGCGGCTGAGGAGGACGGCGGGAGAGAGATGGCGGTGACAGGAGTTGGAGGGAGGAGAGAGGGCTGCGATGGTGGGAGGCGGAGGACGCGACGGCTGCGGAGGGAGGGAGAGATGGTGGCGGTGGCGACGGGAGGGAAAGACGACGACGGTGGCGACGGGAGGGGGCGGTGGCGACGACAACGGAAGGGAGAGACAGAGAGTAGTTAGGGTTATCGGGAGAGGAAAGAGAGAGAGAGGGGAGAGAGGAAGAGTTTTTTTTTTTTTTTTGAAATCAGATTATATAGAAAATGAGAAAGGATCCTGTGTGGTAAGTTTTTCTCTTCCAAAATATTCTTCATTTAATCTAAACCGTTAATTTGAAAAACCAAGAGAGAGGGTGAATCTAATGGCTGGGAAGTGGGATGTGAAAATCACAACCTAAGGGGGTTGTGACGCTATCCCGTGTAATAAAAGCTTCAAAGCCATTTCTCCGCATCCTCTCCCGAGATTAAATTTCCGTGCATACTTCCTCACTTCCAGTGAAACGCTGTTCCCGGCCTCTGGAAACGAAACCCTAATTTCTGTGAAATGCAGAAATTGTAGTTCCTACAGGCTACATCTGATTTTCTGCCTTAATACGGCCGATTGCATGTAGATGTAGGTCTTTGGCTGGCAAGACTCCTTCAATTGTGTGATCGAGAGCAGGTGAAGTCTAGTTTGTTGATTCCTTTCTTGCTCTATTTTTCTTGGTTTCTAATCGCTTCCAGTTTCCCACTTTGGCGTAGATTGAGTTAATCTGTCGTAGCAGCCTCCATTGGAAAGCTATGAACAACCACTGTAGTAGCAGCCCCGAGCTGGGGAAAGATGGAAAAAGGCGCCGTGAAGGAGAAGGTGGAGATGCTACAGCTGACAGGTTAAGCAATCTTCCTGACTTCATTATTCATCACATCCTTTCATTTCTCGACACCAAATCAGCGGTTCAGACCTCGGTACTGTCACGAGTTTGGCAATGCGCTTGGAAACATGTCCCCGTCCTCAATGTTCGAAGTGATTCTTTCCAACAGTATTCTAGTTTTGATAGGTTTGTGGAGAATGTTTTGTCCCTCCGCCACCCCTTTAGTGTCCGGTCGGTGAGCTATGCTGTGTATGAACACGAGGAGGAGGAGGGCGAGGATGAGGAGGAAAAGAAATTCGCTCAGTTTGTCAAGGTCATCAAGTATGCCTTATCCCATGACACTCAACAGTTGGCGTTTAAGCTGTCCTATGTTGTGGAGGCCGAATACGGTTACAGATTCTCTGATTTGTTTGGCACAATCTTGAATTGCAGCCTCAAGAGCCTAGAATTAGGGCATGTCTACATCGATAGTGGATTTGGATCTTCTGGTTTCCAGATGCTGACAACTCTAGAATTGGTACTGTGCCTACTGGCTTCTGATCAGGATGGGGAATTCGATCCTTTTTCTAACTTTCCATGTCTAAAGAATTTGGTCATGAGTCATTGCCGCCATTTGGACATTGACATGCACGGGAATGAAAGGCGCCTCAAGATATGTGGACCCCAATTGCTTAGTCTGGAATTGGAGTTAGTCTCGTCTTCAAACATGGAAATATTTGCACCGAGGCTCAGATTCTTCCGTCTTGAGCATGACTTGGAATCTCTGAATTTCTCCAAGTTAACCCTTCCTTCCCTTGATGATGCTGTTATTATGATCAATGACGAGGTCGAGTTCATGGAGGGTAATGAGGGAAGCGTGAGGCAAGGTGTTGTCTCTTTGTTCCAAGATTTAAGTAATGTAACCACTCTCCAGCTGGATTCTGTTACCATCGAGGTATTGTTTTGGTTTTTTTTTGCTGTAATGAAGTGTCCCTTCCCTGAATATCACCCTTACTTTGTTAGTTGGTTTCTGTCTTCTGCAGGATTTGAGTAGTACTTTTGAGTTTCTGGAACAACAGGCCTCTCCATTCACAAAATTGAAGACCTTGATGGTGAAGGGTGACACCGTCCCTTACATGCTGCTTAATTACTTTCTTAAAGGGTCTTCTAGTACTGAAACAGCTATTGAGTTTGTATAACGTAGTGTTTAACCTTCTCGCCCCAGTTTCTGATTTGCGGTACGCAGTAGTTTAGTGGTTTCTTTGTTTTGATGTTAATTAGGAACAGGTCTTAAACTTGTGCAAGTAATTCAAGCAACCTACTTGCTTTTTTCTCTTGATGGCATTCTTCAACTTCAGATATCTTGAGTTGCTTTTCGTGCTGAATTTTCACAGTGATTGCTTCGAACAGTATTCTAGTTTCCAAGAGTACGTGGTATAGTACTGTGACAATGAGATTTCGAAGGAACGAGATGGTGATCTGTTTGGCAAGGCCACCCATTATACGCTGAGCCATGATACTCAACAATTAGAGATCGATATGTTCAATCATATGCTAGCTAGCATCCAACCCAGTTGCATCTTCTCCTTTCTGTTTGATGTGGTCTCGAATTGCAGGCTCAAGAACTTATCACTCGAAAGTGTCATCACAAACTGGCTTGGGGCGGGTGATCAAGGATGAGAATGAGAGATTTGTGAGAAGGGAGACTGGAGATGGGAGCTTGTGAATCCATAGAAGCCGAAGCCAGAGCCATGCTCACGGGAGTCCAAAAAGCTTCAAAGCTCAGCTTGCGGCAATTAACTGTGCAAACGGACTGTTTATCTCTTGTTGCAAAGCTGAAGGGTAAAGATAAAAGTGGGGTGAGAACTGGGATTTCTTCGGCCACCAAACCTTTTCCAGTTTGGAAAGGTTATATTTAATCATTATCATTAGAGGTTTAGGAATTGTCTGGGATGGGGTTTCCGCGGGAAGCAACTTGGGATTTAGCTATGTAATTATCTATATTAAATTATTAAGTTAGCCGGCCAAGTAACAGTATAGTTCTTTTTTGAGCAAAGTAACAGTATAGTTGGACGAGGGTTTCATAGAGGAGGCTGATTGCGACGGCGGAGGCGACTTGCCGTAACTCTGCCGGGGCCGGTGATACAGCGGTAAGAGTCTCACGCCCTGAATATCATAATCCACGACTGCGGAATTCATGTCTGTTGATTCTGTTCCTTGCTCCGTTTTCTGATTGCCCTGCCTCCAGTAGAAAGCCAATGAAGGACAACAGAAACAGCTGCGAGTTGGGGAAAGCTACAAAAAAACCTCGCATTGAAGCAGAAGACACTGCTGACAGGTTAAGCTCTCTTCCATACCTCATTCTTCATCACATCTTAGAGTTTCTCGACACCAAATCCGTCGTTCAAACCTCGGTATTGTCCCGAGCTTGGAGAAAGCACTTGGAAAGACGTTTCCGTGCTCAATTTTCAGAGCGATTCATTCGATCAGTATTCGAGTTTTCAAACGTACGTGGACAAGGTACTGTCCCTCCGCCATCCTGGTGTTCTGAGCGTGGTAGAATACAGTGACAATGAGGATAGGGAGGGACGAGATGGCGATCTGTTTGTCAAGGTCATCAAGTATGCGATAACCCATGATACTAAACATTTAGTGATGGACCTGTCCAATGGTAAGAAATTCCAACCTAGTAGTGCGTTCTCCTTTTTGTTTCACACTGTCTCGGATTGGAAGCTCGAGAGTTTAGCACTCCGTTGCGTCATCTTGGACAGTGATCAGTTCATATCTGCCGGGTTCCGAATGCTGACAACGTTAACTCTGTTCAACTCCTTTATGACCACGCCTGGAGTGGTAGACGTCGACCCTTTTTCTGGCTTTCCATGTCTCAAGCATTTGACGCTGATAGCGTGTATAGGCCTCGATTATTTCGAGGATGTCAACGCCAGGTTCAAGATATCCGGATCCCAATTGATTACTTTGGAGATGGCGATTGTGACGTCATCCAAGATCGAGATATGTGCACCAAAACTCAGAGACTTCGGGCTCCAACACGACTTGGGATCCTTGAATTTCTCCAGCTTAATATTACCTTCTCTTAAGCGTGCTGAAATTGACATAAGTGATAAGACAAATGGGATGGAGGCTGACAAGGAAAGCATGGCGAGAAGGTTGATGTTCTTGTTCCAAAGTTTGAGTGCTGCAAAAGGTATCCTGCTGCATTCCAAAACCATCCAGGTGATTCTGTCGTTGATCTCGTCATATAATCTGGAACAGTTCACTTTTATCTCCTTAATTGCGGTTTTTTTAAAGATGATTTTTATGCTTTGTGTAGTTATTGGGCACCATTGATTCGGCCATTCTGGAGCAGCAACGCTCCCACTTCACCAGATTGAAGACCTTGATCGTGGAGGCTGATGCTGTGCCGTACCAACTGATCGATTACTTTCTTAAAGGGTCTACTACTGGCGTAGAACCAACTCTGTATCGCGTAAAAAGTATTGGTGAAACCATTTGGGAATAGATATAGCTTCTGATTCGGGTACGCGGATTAGAATAGGTCGTAATTCATAGCTTTAGGTTTGTTTAATTCATAAGACCTACTCTTCGATCATGGTTGCAATATGTAATGAATTATTACTTATTAGGTATACATCTACCTAGTCTTCGATAGGGGTGTTCAAATGGTGTGGTTATCATGGTAACCGTTTTAACCAGTACTATTTGGATAATTTGATTTGGCTAATTTGAATAATTGATTTGGTTTGGTTGAAGTTCTTAGCTTGTTTGGTTTAGGTGGTTTGGTTTGGTTTGGTTTCAGTCACTCTTAACCAGCCAAACCAAATTAACCAGATAAATAATTAGCCATATATCTAATATATACACATACTTAATCCCTTTTAGACTCATAAAATATAAAGCTTGATATTGTTCCTATAATGTATATTAGTATATGTAGAGTGTAGACCACAAAATATGAACGCCTAATTTAGATAAATCTCATACATTATGTTGGATGAAAACTTGAAAGCAATGTCCTTTTTAGCCTATGAAAATTGCTAAAAGACTAAGTCAATTTAAACAAACACAATAATTCATTAACCCATACAATTGTGATAATTTTTTGTTAGGTGAATACTTCTATACTAACCGTAAGATAATTGTCTTAGTTGCATGTATTTATGTTAAGGGTCAACTATAAATCTATAACTATGTGTTGATTGTTATGTTTTATTCATTATATAAATTGCGAATTGATAAATTAACTGAAATTTTTCTCACTTAATGATAATGTGATTTTATATTGGTTAATCTGGTAAACCAACTAACCAAACCAATTAAACTTTAGTTCTGTTAATTTGGTTGTTGTATTAGTTTAGACGGTTTGGTTATGATATTGTATTCCATGGTTAATGAAATTTAGCTTTATTTGGTTTGGTAATAACCATGGTAACCATTTGAACACTCCTAGTCTTCGATATGCCTTAATTAGTGTTTATGATTTTCCATTTTCGAGGCTACCCCGCAATCCGCGGCCCCTCCTCTGTCCGGTGTTGTTTTTGATTTCTTGGAGAAGAACCTCACTTTTCTTTCCTCTAGGTAGGGATGACAATGGGTCGAGTCGGGTCGGGTACGGATAGTACATATTCGTTACCCTACCCAATGTAGTTCGGGTTTTACACATACCTATATAAGAAATGGGTAGAAAATCAAAATCATGCCCATATCTGTTCGGCTTTTGGGTATTCACAGTTATCCATTGATAATAATTTATTTTCATAACTCCAACTAATATATTAACATTCACACATATTCTCACTAGGGCTGTCAATTCGGTTTCCGGTTAGCGGTTAACCGGCCGATTTAACCGTTAACCACCGGTTTTCGGCTAACCGGAAACCGAAATTTATAGGGGCGGTCGGTTGTCGGCAGTGTGGAAAGGGTCGGCGGTTAGCCGAGTAACCAAAGCCGGTTAACCGGCTAACCGTCTCTAACCGACCGACGATACGACGTCCTTTTGTCAGTGAGAAAAAACGACCCCCAACCCTAGTCTTCGCCTCTTCGGCCCTTCGCAGATCGCAGCTCCTTGCCTCCTTCTTCATTCCCATTTCCCAATCCCAGCCTCCGACTCCGAGTCCCTCAGCCGCCAGCCCACAACTCCTTCTCCCTCACGACCGGCGACCCCTTCCGGCGACCTCCTCCTTCTCCCTCGCGACCGGCGACCCGACCCCCTCCTTCTCCCTCACCCTCACGACCGGCGCGGCAGTCCCAGGCCCCAGCTCCGACCCCGCCGCCTTACTTCTCGTCGCCCCGCCGCCCTCCTTCTCGTCGCAGCAGTCCCAGGCTCCCAGCTCCGGCGCGGCAGTCCCAGATCGTCCACCGCAGGCCAGCAGGCAGCCGCAGCAGCTCGTCGAATTAATGTAGGTCGAATTAGCCAATTAGTGTATTCAACATTCAATTCAATTATGTAGGTCGAATTAATTTGGCGTAGGTCGAATTAATTTGGTGGATTGGTGATGATTTTGGTGGATTGGTGATGTTCTGTGATTAATATAATGATGTTTATATTTTGAATTTTTGATTATGAATGTTGAATGATGATTTTAGGGCGATTGATGATGATTGATTGATTGTTAGTTGCTGATGATGATTGATGATGATGATTGATTAATTTGGTGGATTGGTGATGATTTTGGTGGATTGGTGATGTTCTGTGATTAATATAATGATGTTTATATTTTGAATTTTTGATTATGAATGTTGAATGATGATTTTAGGGCGATTGATGATGATTGATTGATTGTTAGTTGCTGATGATGATTGATGATGATGATTGATTAATTTGGTGGATTGGTGATGATTTTGGTGGATTGCCAACATTGTTAGTTTTTATTTGTTAGAATTTGTGAATTTAGGGCGATTGATTATGAATGTCGAATGATGATTGATTGATTGTTAGTTGCTGATGATGATTGATGATGATGATTTGATGTAGGGCGAGACCTCCGGCTCCACGTGGTGGACATGGCGGACGAGGTGCACCATCCGCTGAGATTGCTTCTCGTGGTGGGAGACCTCCGGCTCCTCGAGGTCGTGGTGGTGCGGGTGCCTCAGCCCCTCCTACTCAGAATCGGGGTCGTGGACCTCGTGGTGGAGGTGGACGTACAGGAAGTCGGCCTGTTCAGTCTGGTGAACCGTCAGCGTCAGCATCAATTGCATCGACTCCCGCCCATGTCGGTAGTGGAAGTACACCTGCTGCTGAGGCTCCTTCAGCAGCAACGATTAATCCGGCTTCAAATAAAACTAAAGACGATCCCTTTAATCTAGAGAGATGGTTGGAGACAAAGGGTGGAGCTGATTGCTGGAAGGACTTTACGAAGGTGGCAGTGGATGAGTATCCGTTTGGAGAGTGCAAGCATTGTCATACTAAGATCAAAGCACATCCATCCAAGAATGGCACTTCTGCAATGAATAACCATCGGAGATCCTGTTTGGCTAAGGTTGCAGCATCCAAGGATCAGACTGTTCTGAACTTGCAGGCCGCCGATGGTAGTGGAAGTCAAGTAAGTGCTTTATGGAAGTTTGATCAAGCAAAAGCAAGATATTCCTTAGCCATGATGATTATAATGGATGAATTGTCTTTTCGCTTTGTGGAAAGAGACGGGTTTAAGCAGTTTATGCATACGGTTCAGCCACTGTTTAAGATACCTGGGAGGAGAGGTATAAGAGATGATTGCTTTCATATATTCTTGGAGAAAAAAATGAATTTGATAGAGTTTTTTGAATCAAAGAGCAAAGGCAGAGTTTCAATCACCACAGATACGTGGACTTCTGACAACAACAAGAATTACATGTGTGTGACTGCACACTTTGTTGGAGGTGATTGGAAGTTGCAGAAGAAGGTGATCTCCTTTGTTCCCATCACAAGTCATACATGAATTGATATTGCAGAGAAGCTTGCTGAAATTCTTGAAGAATGGAAGGTGAAGAATTTGTTCTGCATGACCATGGACAATGCATCTACAAATGATGTTGTGAGTGATTGCATGAGAAGGAAATTAAAGGAGTGGGGGTGTGATTTGATGGATGGGAAGTATCTGCAGTTTCGATGTGTTGCACACATCATTAATCTGGTGGTGCAGGATGGATTGAAGGTAATCGGAGGAGCTGTGGATAGAATTCGGGACTGTGTGAAGTGGGTGAGGTCATCGCCAGCTAGGTTGACAAGGTTCAAGACTGCTATGCAATTTTTGGAGTTGGATTCTACCAAATTGGTGTGTTTGGATGTACCGACCAGGTGGAACTCCACCTATGTCATGTTAGAAGCAGCGGAAAGGTTTGGTGGAGTGTTTACCACCTTGTATACAAGTATACATGATCATTCCTTCAGGGATTACATTGACGCAAAAGGTGGTCTACCAACTGAACATGATTGGAGTCTGATTAGAAAGTTGATGAAGTATCTAAAAGTCTTTAATGACTTTACCCTCCTATTCTCTGGTAAGTGAAATTTTTGCTCACTTTGTTTATATTAATTTGAACATTTGACAAATTTGATCCGTTTAAGTCTAATTTCCTGTATTCTATTATAATTTGTACAGGAACTAAATATGTGACTATCCATCTTTTCTTCAAGAAACTTGTTCCAATTTATGACATCATTCAAGAATTGAAGAATGATCCGCGTGAAGAGCTCAAAAGGATGGCGGAAAAGGTTGAAGAAAAGGTACAAAAGTATTGGTTTGATACACTTGTCATGAATGAGGAGAATCCTAGGGTGAATCATTTAATCTATATAGCATGTGTGCTTGATCCTAGAAGTAAGCTTGATCTTGTGTCTGAAGTGTTGGTAATGATTTATGGAAATACCAAAGGATGGGAAATTCAGGCTACGATTAAAAGGGAGATGCGCCGGATGTTTGAGATTTATAAGAGGAAGTATGGATCAGAGTTAGCATCTCAGCCTACCACTGATGATAACATTGCTGATGATAGTTCCGCTGATGGTGCCGGTGATCGGATTAAGATATTGGAGGAGAGGCTTAGAAAGAGAAAAAGGGAAGCACTTCTGCTGGAAACAGGAGGTAGCTCTGCTGAGCTTGACATCTATTTGAAATGCCAAACTGATGGCATCAATGAAGAGAGTGATGATGCAAAGTTTGACATATTAGAATGGTGGTCTCGACACTCTGGAATATATCCGATTGTTGCTGAGATGGCTAAGGATGTCCTAGCTGTTCCTATCTCTTCTGTTGCCTCAGAGGCAACATTCAGTTTTGGCGGGCGGATTCTCAGTCCATTCATGTCCTCTTTAAGCGACCTAATGGTGGAGGCATTGATTTGTGCTGAGGATTGGATAAGGTATCCCGGATCTAGGGAGATTGACGACAAGGAAGATGATGAAGAGAATTTGACTTTGGAAAATAGTGAGTTCTCAAACTCTCTTATTGTTCAATTTTTTGTCTTCTTTTCACCTAATTCAATATATGAATGTACTAACACTTTGTTTTCCTTTTTTTTTTCTTACTCAGTTAATGTCACTTTCCAAACTAGAATGGAAAGTGCAACGAATACTGGCAATGTTGGCAATGCGGATGCAAGCCTCAACATTCCAGTGGAGAATGAGCAGGAGGGTGAAGAAGATGCACCGGAGGAAGAGTATGAGAAAGATGGATATGATGATTATGGTCATGACTTGTTGCCCGTATTGAAGGAACAGGGTTATGCAGATGTTGGTTCTTCTAAGGCTGGTGATAACTGATAAGTGATGTGTTGTTGATTTGTTGTTATCTAGAGGATTTATTGTGATTTGTGTAGTTTATGTTGTTGAATTAATGAATGTGAGACATTAAGTTGCTAATTTAGATGTATTTTCGATGCGAAAAGAATTGAAATGTAGGTTTGAAATTTTAATTTTAGGCGATTTTAGGTTTTTTCCCCTTGCTGTCCGATCAGTTTTGACCGATTAAAGGTCGGTTTTCGGTCTTGGTTCTCGGTTTTCAGTCTTCGGTCGGTTTTGTTTCGGTCTTCGGTCTGTTTTCTTTCGGTTTTTGGTCGGTCTTCGGTCGGGTTCCACAGCAGACCGAACCGTCCCCTTCTATATCGGTTGCGCCGGGTTAACCGTGGATTAACCGAAACCGTCCGGTCGGTTTTACGGATAACCGATGCCCAGGGCCGGTCGGTTGGCGGTAAGGGCTGGTCTGGTCTCGGTTTAATCGAAAACCGAGAAATCGGTTTTCGGTTAAACATAAACCGACCGGTTGACAGCCCTAATTCTCACATTACTTAAGAGAAAAGGTACGATAATAATTCACTAGAATGAAGAAAATTAATTAAAACAACACAATTTCATAAAAATATTATATTTATATGCTAACTATAAAATATGTTGAGAAAATTAATGATTATTTCTAGACAAAATACATATACATGTGTATAATCGGGCGGGTTCGGGTTGGATAGTGAGAAATCCAAGCCCACCCATTACCCGCAATAGTCAGGTTCGGGTTTTACCCATACCCACTACCCACTAAAAGTCTTTCAGGTTCGGGTTTACCCTACCCGATTAGGCCGGATTCGGGTGGATATCCACAGTTACGGATATTTTTGTCATCCCTATCTACACGATGTGAATGAGTGTTCTTCACGCTCTGTATGCCTCTTTGATTAGTTATTGTTTCAGGCGGGTTTTCCTCTTCCTAGATTATATAAAACTCCAAACTTCTTTACTAATTTAATTTAATTGAATTGATGTCACCATTGCCCTAAAAAAAACTTGTTCTACTAAACCGACATGAATTAACATAAATGACATACCAATAATCAGACCATTAACCGACATAAACCGGTTAGACAACCCTACTTGCTCGCCAAACCATCGAATACGCGGGAAGTTTTAGTGGTTAAATCAGAAGAAATGCGGGAAAAGTAGAAATCCTTGAACTTCGATTTTTTCGAAATTCCTTTTCATAGGTTCATCCGGCGCGGAGCCCAGCACTTGGGGCCGGGGGAATGAAATTCGCCGGAGCGAAGCAAAACCTTGCAACCAGACTGGCTTGAAAACTGACGCAGCTCAGAAAGGTTTTGGAGGCAAAAGGAAGATCATTCACAAAGAGGGGCGAAAAATGAAACCAAAGGACGGTCCAATTAGAGCTATAGGCCAGAGATCCATTACTTCTTCCTTCGTTTCCCCCTCTTCTTCAAACCGCTGGTAAGCGATTTGCCGGAGCAGCACGAGTGGCCGTCGATTTACTTCCGGCTGTTGGAATTCTTATGTTCAACGTTCGCGGTTAACAATTTCATTTGTTGTACACTTCAGGAACGAAATCAGCACTCTGGATTCCGATGCCGCCGGCGAGCTGAAGAAAGACGGTGCGGTGAGTTCTTCAAAGTTGTCGCTCTCTGATTTCCTCAACAAGAAGCTTCACAAAACTGCCGTTGTTCGCTCCAGATCACTGAAGGTGTGCTTCTTCCTTCCTTTTCTCAATTCACCTGCAGTTGCTATCTATTGGCGAATCGCTAGGGTTTGCTTTGGTTTTGATTTTGCAAACTTATTTGAGATTGAATTGAAGTTAAGGTTTGAATTCTGTCTGCTGGACTTTGTTATCAGGGTAAGTCCCAGCCTTTTCTATCGCCGTTAGGACGTATAACCGAGAGCAGCGTTAGTGGGGGCTCGAAGGATGACAAAGAAGAGAGGAACTCCTCGGTCGTAGTGGAGGATGAAGTAGTGTTTCAGCTGTTTAAGAAGCCTGCTGTTGGTGAAAAGGGAAATGATGCTGCTGATTCATCGAGTAGATTTGGCACAATCGGGAAACCAACTGATTCCAGCAATTCGACTGGTTTAAGTTCATCTGAACCAGATTGCTCGCCCATAACAGGTACATGAAAACTGAGACCTTTTGGATGAACTGTTTCAAAATATATCTACTATGTTTCAGTTTCTTCGTAAGCTCTTTTGCTGTCAAAATGCTAGGAACCTCCAAGAGACAATACATTTCTATATCTGTTTCCCCTCCTCCTGGCAAGATAATGAATCTCGACAACCCTTTTCCCCCGAGGGCTCAAGCTTAGTTTTTTGATAAGGGCGAAATAGTATTAGGAAGAACAAAACAAGCAAAGTCCAAAAAACAAACAAACGGGGAAGAAACACAGGACAGCCAAAGCGAAAAGAGAAACAGAGGAGACCACCAGAAAAGGACAGCTCTGGGGCTCCAAACAGGGGGAAACAGACAGGACGGAGGAAAAGCCAGACAACAGCAGAGGAAAAAATCATCAGCCAGGACAGCCAGAACGAAGCCGCAGCGCCCACCGAACGAGACAGGACGCAAACTAACTCTCAGTGGGGGCCGGCCTGGGGAGAAGCCGGGTCTTGAGAATGAGCATCCACGCCTCAGCAGTGCTTCTGTCGACCTTATTCCCAGCGCATAACCAGTCGGCAATGAGGCGAGCAGTCTTGAAGGAGACCATACGGGAGGAGGCGTGTTCGTCACGGAAAATACGGGAGTTGCGCTCCAGCCAAATACGCCAGAAGAAAGCATGGATAAACACTCTGCTGCACCAAGCCTTAGGGCTTTGAGAAGAACCCAAGGGCCATCCGTTGATAGTGGAAGTGGTATCCTGTGAAGGAGATCTGAGATCGATGAAGGCGCTCAACATCCGCCAGACCTCCCGACTAAAAGAGCAAGTGATGAAGAGGTGATCCAAGGTTTCTTCAGAGCATTCGCACAGGGAACACCGACTGGGGAAAGACCAGCCTCTCCTTCTCAGGACGTCGTGGGTGAGAATCCTTCGATAGAACACGGTCCACAGGAAAGCACACACCTTGGGAGGGATGACGGATTGCCAAACGAACCTGAAAGGGAAGTCCGGGTCGGCCGCGCTGTTCTCCTTAACCAACTCAGCATAAGCAGATTGGGTTGAGAAGCCATCATCAGGTGCAGCATTCCAAACAATTCTAGGCGGACCTGCAGTAAAACTAGAGATATTAAGAGAATTAAGCCAGTTAAAAAGATTAGATCTCTCACTCCCCGCCCCTCCTCTAAGGGTAAAACGAGAGGGGATAACCCAAGACAAGCTTCCCTCATTGACTCTAACAAGGTCAGCGATGCTGGCGTTCGGAGCGATGGCGGCGGCAGCAACACGGGGAAAGTCTACAGCGAGAGGATGGGGCCGATCCCTGACCCAGACATCAAACCAGAAGGAGGTGTCGTGCCCAGACCCCGGGTCCACATGGGCAAGACTCCAGAACTTGCTACGCATCTTCGAGATCACAGCCCACAAGCTACACCCCAGCCGGCCCTGAATGTCGCCAGAGGACCAATCCGAATGGGAGTTCGGAAACTTCAACTTGATCAGCTCTCTCCACCACGAGGTCCTTTCAACAGCAAACCTCCAGCACCATTTTAAGAGAAGAGCCTGGTTTCTGACTCTCAGATCAGGAATGCCAAGGCCGCCCAAGCTCCTCGGCAGCTTGCATCTATCCCACGCAACAAGGTGAAGTTTATTGACCTCCCCAGTTCCAGACCAGATGAACTCACGGAGGAGTCTATCAAGTTTATCCAGCACAGCAGCGGGCGCTTTGAAAAGACTGAGCAAATAGTTGACCTGGGCAGCAAGCACGGAAACGCAAAGAGTAACCCTTCCGCCAAAAGAGAGGTACTTCCCCATCCAGCCGGCCAGCCTCCCCTCCACCTTGTCAATGACTTTATTCCAGATGACGTTAGACTTGACAGGAGCCCCAAGCGGAAGACCGAGGTAGATGGTGTGAAGAAACTTCCACTCGCAGCCCAGGATCTCCGCCAGACGATCCATGTTAGCAACATCTCCAACAGGGAAAAGAAAGCTTTTCCGGAAATTAACCTTCAAGCCCGTTATGGTTTGGAACCAAACCAAAGCAGCAGCCAAGTTGTACATAGCTTCCTCCGACGCGTCACAGAAGACGATGGCATCATCGGCGTAAAGGAGGTGATTGACCCCGTCCACTCTATTGGAATCATCCATAAAGAAGCCCTCAAGAAGGCCAGAATCATGGGTACTTTGAAGAATGAACGAGAAGAGGTCCATGACTAGGCTGAAAAGGAAGGGGGAGAGGGAGTCTCCCTGTTTCAGACCTCTCTGCATCTGGAAAAAGCCACCTGCTTCGCCATTCACGAGGATCGACAACTTGGAACAGCAGACAATACCCTTTAACCACTTGCAGAACCGGTGGCAGAGGCCCAAATTCTTCAGAATATTGAAGAGACAGCTCCAGTTGACGGAGTCGAAGGCTTTTTCGATGTCCAATTTGAAGATGACTCCCGGGCGGCCACTCCTCAGCCTGCTATCGACTAGCTCGTTGGCGATAAGGGCAGCTTCGTGAATCTGCCTATGCTTCAGGCCAGCAAACTGGTGTCGAGAGACCAGCCGGTTCATGAAAGGCTGCAACCGCAGAAAGAGAAGTTTGGACAGAATCTTATTTAAGCTGCCAACGAGACTAATGGGGCGGAAATCGCCAACCTCTTCGGGAGCAGTCTTCTTGGGCACGAGGCAAATAAAGGAGTGCGCCACTGAATCCGGAATGAAACCGGTCAGAAAAAACTCATCAGCGGCCCTTAAAATGTCGTGTTTAATCACGTTCCACGCTTTTTGGAAAAATCGCAGGGTGAAACCATCGGGCCCGGGGGCTTTGTCTCCCCCACAGGAATTCACGGCTTTCCAAATCTCTGCTTCTTGAAAGGGGAGGGTGAGGAGATGGTTCTCTTCCAGGCTGATGAGATTGTGCTTGAAATCAACAGGGAAAGGTCTAACATGAACCTCCTCGGAAAATCTGGATTGAAAGTGCTGGATGAACACCTGCTTAATCGCTTCGCCATCGGAGATAACTTCGTTGTCCACTTTCAGGAGCTGGATGGTATTCCTCCTACGGTTAAAATTAGCCATACGGTGAAAAAACCCCGAATTCTTGTCCCCAACCTTGATCCAAAGCTCCCTGGATTTTTGGCGCCAGGATATTTCCTCCATAAGCAGGATTTTGTCAAGCTCACACCTCCACAAGCTCCTAGCAATGAACTGAGACTCTAAGATTGGCCCGGCTTCCTCCAACAGATCAATCTCACTGATTTTCTTGATTAAGTTCTCAATTTTAACCTGTACTCTGCCAAACACGTCCACGTTCCAAGACTTGATGAGCTGCTTACTCTGCTTGAGACGCTGACCAGCGCGAAACAGAAGTCCCGAGCCCGAAACGGGGATATTCCACCACCCAACTAGACTCTGCATGAATGACTCCAGGAGCCACATGTTTTCGAACCGCCACGGTCTGCGAACGCGGTCTTCCAGTCCCCAATGAACCCGGATGGGATTGTGGTCGGACTCAACCCTTTCAAAAGCAAGAAGGGGTCCTGGCGAGAAGGAGACTTCGAAGGCTGTGTTAATCAAAGCACGATCAATGCGGGACAGACTCGGGTTGGTGCTACCACTGCTTCTAGTAAAGGCGGCGCCCTGAAGGGGAAGATCAATGAGGCCATTGCGGTTCACCATGGAGTTAAATTCCGCCATCATTGCCCTACATCTCGGGGCACCCCTGTAATCATCGTCCGACCTGACCATGTTGAAATCCCCCAGAAAGCAGATAGGATCCGCATACCGTCGACATAAGAGATCAATCTCAGAAAGAAAGGCCAACTTGGCATCATTCTCGTGTGGCCCATAGACGAAGACGATGGCGATGACCTTCAACGAACGAACGATCCGAAGACGAATGGCCAGCGAAAACCGGCCTTCCCAAAACTCCAGCAGACAGAATTCCGATGGTTCCCAGAACACAGCAATACCACCCCTGGTATCGGACGCGTTCTTGGCCACCCACGAGCTAGACCTGCTACCACTGACTGACGAAATCAACCGCTGCGAGCACTCATTCCACTTAGTTTCAATCAACCCAATCACCGCAGCACGACATCGACGGATCATAGACTTCACCCGAGCGCGCTTGTTGGACTCACCGAGGCCCCTGACGTTCCAAGCAAGAACAGAGTTATTCATTGGGGGTTAGGAGTCGGGGAAACTCTTCTAGCGTGATCACCCTGCCTATTTTTTCTCCTGTGACTGGGGGTAGCAGTATTTTGGTGGCCAAGGCGATGCATTTCCATCTGAAATTTCGACCTGTGAGCTCTTTTCTTCTTAGATTTGAGGGAGGAAGCAATATCTTCAAAGAGTTCATCGGCTTTATCACTAGAGACCTCTGGAGCCAAATTCAGAGACTGGCGAATTACTTTTCCAGCATCCAAGATCCGTTCCAGGTCCAAGCCTTCACGCCACTCCAGGAGGTAGGCCTCATCAATTTGGTGGAAGGGTACAATGGCGAGCGCATCTGGATCTTGGGAGGGGACCGCCCCAGACTCATCGGTGGCAGACGGGCTATCGGGTGGGGTAGAGTGTACAGGGGAGGCTAGACCCGGGGATGGGGGCGAAGGGGGGTCAACCGAAAGGGCGAGGGTCGGAAGGGTACGGGGGTTAACTGGGATTGAAACCAGGTCACGAAGATGAGGGGGAAGAAGGGACGGGTTTTGGATGGCTGGGTTAAGGTGGGTAAGAAAAGTCAAGGAGTTGCAGGGGAAGTTCAGGGGGTCAAAACAGGAGAAGATCTCGGGTGAAAGGAAAACAACTGAGGTTAAAAGGGGACTAGGCCGAGGGGGTTGTAGAAGGGCGGGCCAGAGAGGGGGAGCAAGTGGGTCAGAGGGGGGAAGGGGCTGGGCTGGGGTAAAACGTGGGCCAGGAGAAGGAGTGATTGGGCTGAGGGCAGTTGGAGGATCGGCGCAAGGGGGCGGGGAAAAACAAGGAGTGGGCCGCAGATGGGGAGGGAGCCACACTGGGCCGGCTTTGCGGACCCAGATACGCTTCGGGCGGGCCTGGTTCAAAGAGGGGGCTAGGATTGAGTGAATGCCACGGGGTCTCTTTTGCCCTAGAGAGGAGGCACCGGTGGGCCCCATGCCATAATCCCCACTTGGGCGTCCCGATACGCATGCACTAGGAGCTAGGGAACCTTCCTCGAACACGGGACTGCATGGAATGCCAAGGGACGTGGCCGGCGGAGAGATGATTTGAATTCGGAAAAGCTGATCGCCGAACCAGATAGGGATTTCTCCAGGGAGGGCCGCCGACCGCCGTATTCTGATCCTGACGAAGGGGAGAAACCAAGACTCCCAATCAATAGCAATAAAGGTTCCACAGAAATTGCCAATGGCTACCAAGAGATCCACGCTTTTCAGGTGGAGCGGAATGTTCAGGGCAATGATCCAAGTCTCGTCTGCCAGAGGCGCAGATTCGTTCCAGCGAGAAACGGAGATGGAGAAGTCCAGAAAAATCCGGTAATTCAGCTTCAAGATACGAAGGGATTCTTGGACCGAAGGACATATCAGAAACCACCTCCCATCACCACAATCTTCCAAAGTAAAATTCTCATCAACAGCCCAGAACCTCTTTGCCCACCGCCGGAACTGAGAGACCAGGTTTCCAGTGAAGCTCTCGTTGGAAGAAGAACGGAAGGTGAGAACAAGGCATTTCCCCAGAAGGTCGCGCCGCTCCTTGACTCCCTCCATCTCCACACCGATGTATTTGTCCTTCCCGCGGCCCAAGATGGAGCACTTACCGGCGCCGTAGAACCCTCCCGATCTCACGACATCGGCGTAGCTTCTTGCACCAAACTGCAAAGGAGGCGGGGGGATCTCAACGAGGGGTTTGGAGGTGGAGGCGCTGACGCGAAATTGGAGATCGGCCGCATAGAAATCCTGTAGGAGACGAATCAGTCTCGCCCAACCGAACCCATTACTCGCAGCAGGGATGATGACTTTGAAAACCTTCCCCGTCCTTGACAACTCAGAGACTTGCAGAAGATGACCGCGACGGCTCAGAACACTACCAATATGTATGGTGCGATCCCCGCTTTTCAGGACGCACTTCGCGGGGAATAGCCAATCCCTTCTCGAGGCAGTTTGAAGGACCCCTTGCAACCAAGAAGCCTGAGCACCATCCAAGAAGACGAACCATCGCTTGCCTTTTTCCTCAACCTGGAGCCTAATAAACCCTGATCTGGTGTTGCTAACTGAGACAAACTTCGACCCCATCTGAACTCGCCGCCTGATCAGGCCAGGAAGGCCACCGCCGCCACAGAAACGCGCATCATCTGACCTGCAAAACAGGGAAACATCACACACCCCACCCGGAAGACCCTCACCGACTCTCTCTCTAGCGCTCTCTCTCATCTCTCTCAATCACTTTGCTTTAACAGTGGTATTACACTGGTATGCAATTGTCCTCAAGCTTAGTTAGTAAATGATTGTGACTTAACAGACCTGCCTTTTCCACAGTGCATGTCTCTTCCCGTGTAAGAATGCAATTTGAGTCTATTCTGTTAAGTGTTACAACTGAAGTTTATTCCAGCTAGCAGCTGCTGCTTGAGTAAGCTTATGCCACAGCTTACTGCAGTTTGATGTGGGGTATTTTTGCACTTGAAACTTTTCATGGGGTTGTTAAAGAATCCTACTTGCCTGCCTGCATCAGTGTTCGTTAAGGAATGACTCAAAAGCTATGAACTTTGCCTGTCAAAGCCTATATATAGCTGTATCTTCCTTCCTTATGGTCCATGACTAAGCAAATGTTTATCTTACCAGGGTTACAAACTTGTGAGCATATAAAGCATGCTACTGCTGTTCCTAAATTGCCTTTGGTGCTAGGGGATGATCAACATGGCAGAAACATGGCAGCTGAAGATAGATTGAACAACAAGAAAAAGCGGAAAAAGGTCTACAACCATTGTGAGTAGATGTGGAAATGACATATATTTGGAGTCTTTCCTACATGGAATCTGAAAAGGCCTGTGTAATTTCATAGTTTCCTTAACTCTGTATCTCTGTGCTTTGGCCAGATGCTAACGGCTCCGGTTGGTGGGACTGCGACATGGAAGGTGTTGATTCGGAGGAAGTAGGGTTTGGTGAGATATGGGAAGGTGTGGGATCTACAACGTTCGGTGGAATAGATTGGCACTAATCCTGTCTTTCTTTATTTTAATCTCAGCTCCCGTAGTTTTTTCCTTCTTAGTTCTTACTTCACTGCTTCATCTGATTGCCTTATTTTAAGACCATGTCAATGAACTAGTGTATATTTTCAGTGTTAGTTACTATGGCCACTTCCTTCATGATCAATATCATACTCATGATCAATATCATACCGAGTTTAGTGAACTGCTGCTGCATATGTAGTTGATGCATAAAGAGCAATAAATTGACAGGAAATTAGCAATAAAAAATTATGGGGTGAGAGAGGCTCGAACTCTCGACCTCAGGATCACTCTTTAGCTATGAGACCTACGCGCTAACCAACTGCGCCACCACCCCTTGTTGTTTCGAACTCAATGGTTTCTGTAACTAAACATACGTCCACATCGATAGTAAATTTGGATCTTGTGGCTTTTGAAGGATGAGGACTTTACATTTGAAAAGTTGCTACTCAGGTTCTTATTTGGATAAGGAGTTCGAAGCTGTATGGATCCAATTGGTTAGGACGTAATTTAACTGTGTGTCATGTTACAAGCCGGAAATAATTACTATGAAATTCTTATTTTAAATTCTTCAGAAGATTAAAAAGTCTACAATCAACTGCTCATTTCCTCTATTATGTTGATATTCGGGTCATTTGTATCATTGATGTGTGTGGTTTCATGGGATTGAACACCAAATGTCCTGTGTTGCTATTCCTGAACAGAATGGCAGGGTAGAAAGAAAGCACCAGCAAATTTTGAATGTGGCAAGGGCTTTAAGGTTCCAATCAGGCATACCTTTGCAGTTTTGGAGTGACTGCATACTACATGCAGTACACTTGATCAACAGGTTGCCAACACCTGTACTAGACAACAAGAGTCCATATGAAGTTTTGTATGGGACACCACCCTTCCTTGGCCATTTAAAGGTTTTTGGCTGTTTAGCTTATGCTTCCAGTCTGAGCAGTGGCAGGACAAAATTTCAGTCCAGAGCCAGACAATGTTTGTTTCTAGGCTACCATATGGGAATCAAAGGTTATAAACTGTTTGACTTAACCATACATGACATCATTATTTCCAGAGATGTAGTTTTGTATGAAGACATTCAGCCTTTCAAGACTACAAGTACACCTGATTCAGAAAACGATTCTACCACATTCCCAGACCTTCCTACTGTTCAGTTTCCAACATCTTCTGATATCTATTCTCCTCCTGATAGCCAGGCTCATGGGGGTCAGGCCATTCCAGTTCTAGTTTCAAATCCACTTGCTGATGACTCTCCTTCAGGGACACAAGGTCCTTCTGACCTCAATCCCTCTCCTGGTACTCAACCACAACAAGATGGTTCCAGTGAATCAGATGACTACAGAGATGCTGAGGTTGACTCTCAGGACTCAGATACTGATGGTGAAGAACTTCCACCAGGTGATGACTTGGAAGAGGATGAATTGCCTCCTAAACCAGGAAACCTCCTGTTTGGCACAAGGATTATATTACATCAGTCAATCATATCAGCCAGTACTGCATGGCTAATTATGTTTTTTACCACCAGTTTACCCCACAACAGAAGAGGTTTGCACTGAGTCTGACAGTTCTCATGGATCCACAATCTTACAAAGAAGCAGCAAAAGAGCATCATTGGATCCACAATCTTGTCACTTTACCTGCTGGAAAGAGAGCAACTGGTTGCAAGTGGGTGTATAAGACAAAATTAAGGCCAAATGGAGCCATTGAAAGATACAAAGCAAGACTTGTAGCTAAGGGGTTCACTCAAATCTATGGAATAGATTTTCTGGACACTTTTTTCCCGGTTGCAAAGATTAACACAGTGAAGACACTTTTAGCTGTTGCAGCAGCTAAGAATTGGTGTTTACATCAAATAGATGTCTCCAATGCATTTCTGCATGGAGACTTAGATGAAGAAGTGTACATGACACCACCACCTGGATTGGAAGAAAGTGAAGGGAAGGTCTGCAGGTTGAGGAAATCATTGTATGGTCTTAAACAAGCCAGCAGACAATGGTTTGCCAAACTGACTTGTTCTTTACTCAAGAATGGTTTTTCCTAGTCGACTTCTGATTACTCTATGTTCACTAAGAGGGTTCAAGGTAGGTTGGTTGTATTACTTGTCTATGTGGATGCCATTATTTTGGCAGGAGAGAAGCTTGATGATCTGGAGTTGGTCAAGCTTTATTTGAAGAGAAGCTTTAAAATTAAGGATCTTGGAGTATTAAAGTACTTTTTGGGGCTCGAAATTGTTAGAAATGGAGAAGGGATTGTGGTTAATCAGAGGAAGTACTACACTGAACTGCTTGAAGACACTGGTTATGCAGAAGCAAAAGAAACACAGACTCCCATTGACATGAAAGTAAGGCTGAGCTCCAAAGAAGGAACTCCAATTGATGATCCAAAGTGTTACGAAAGGCTTATTGGGAGATTACATTATTTGACTATCACTAGGCCAGATATATGTTTTACAGTTCAACAACTAAGTCAATTCCAAGGGAATCCTTTGGACACACATATGCAGGTTGCCTTGAGGGTGCTCAAATACTTGAAGAAGTCACCAGGGCAGGGCATTATGTTCAGAACAGATACAGATTATTCTGTCACAGGGTACAGTGACTCTGATTGGGCAGCATGTCCTGATACAAGGAGATCCATTACAGGGTTCTGCACCTATTTTGGGAATTCATTGCTTACATGGAAGAGTAAGAAACAAACTACATTGTCCAGGTCCTCCTCTGAAGCTGAGTACATAGCTTTAGCTCATTTGGTTTGTGAGATCCAGTGGATGAAAGGACTTTTGTCAGAACTGGATGTGAAGGTTTCACTTCCAATTACAGTTTATTGTGATAACAGGTCAGCCATTCATATAGCTGAGAATCCTGTTTTTCATGAAAGAACTAAGCTTATCGAGATTGATATGCATGTTACCAGGGAGAGAACCAAGACTGGTCTGATCAGGCTGTGTCACCTGCACACTACAGACCAGTTAGTAGATATCTTCACTAAGGGTTTAAGTAAATTTAGGTTATTGGAATTGCTTGGCAAGATGGGAGTAACAGATGTATACTCTCCAACTTGTGGGGGCCTATTGAATGAATCAAGAGGGTATGATTCAAGGAAAACAGCAGCTACAGCTGTTGTTCATAGCAATCCTAGTCAACTTAAGATTCAAGGAAGTCAGCAGGGTCAAGATGGACTCAAGTGGAAGACTTTACAAGTTTGGAACTAGAATGGCACTTTTACATACGGTGTCGTTTTGATTTATTTATTCTTTCAATATGTTAAACGTGTGTTAGTTACGAAATAACGAATCCTACCAAGCCACGTGTCGGTCTCTGGTTTAAAGAATTCAAACAACGGTTAACACTGTTTGTTATCCGTTGTAATCTTCTCCCCTCTTTCTGATATAAATAGAAAACCCCAAAAGAGAGGACAATAGGTTTTCTACTGATCCTCCACCCAATCCAGTCGCCTCCTTTCTTAGCTGGAGCTCGGCTTGGGCTTGGGTCGGCGGGAGGCGGATCGTGTTAGTGTAGGATTGGGGGAGAGTGGGAGGACAATGAGAAAGAGAAGAGAGCAAGGGGGAAAATATATTGTATTTGTTTTTTTTTTTTTACAAAAGATAATCATATATTGATTCAAACAATAGATATTACATCTTAGAATATTGTATTTGTCATTTTTCTAATGAAGGTATAAATGATGTGAAATTTTTAAAAGATTAATTTAATTTTATTATTATTTAATTGTCACGTCACTTATCTAACGGTCAACTTTCAGAGTTGACTGCCACGTCAGTTAAAGTTAACGGAGACTAATGGAGAGTTACGAAACTTGAACTGTTGAACTAATCTTAGTGACTACAGGTATAATAAATTAATTTCAGTGACAAACGTGAACTTTTTAAGTAATTCAAGTTACCAAACTTGTAATTTACCCCAAACTATAGTGTCGAAATCAAAACTCCAGAGTCGAAAATTTGGATTTAACCGCTAAATCTTTTATTGATATATTAAATTGAAAGCGATATTTACAACATTGTCTCCTACCCTTATTAAAAAAATTAGACAGCTAACTTAATGCCATTGAATCTACCTCCACAAAATATCCATGTGGATCAGAAGAAATTTAGAGGAGAAAGGTGTTTGTTTTGTAGAAAGAGTTAAGTTTTTTAAATCCTCCATTAATATATAGTAGAGTTTTGTAAACTTTTTTCCATTTCAAATTTCCTCCAATGAGAGTGAAAGTAGGAAGGATATTTTTGTCTTTACAATTAATTATTTATTTCATAAAAAATATCAATATCAAGACTCGAACCTGAGTCTCTTCAAACAAAGATAGCAGTCATAACCAATTATACTAAGTGTATTTATTGTTCCTTTTTTAATACAAAACATACATGTATTGAAACTGTGAAAAGCAGAGAACTTTTTCATCATGATTAACAAGGGCACTAAGTCTACCATATGTATTTTCATGGTGCTTAATACTTCATTTTCATAGTAGAGTTTCATTTAATTTTATCAATTTTTAGAATTCATGCTCTCTCCTTAATGTTTCGCTAAAGGTATATTGGTAATTGGCTAACATGGAAGAAACTATTTCCTTTATTACGTGTTGTGTCCTTGCATTTTTCAATATAAATTTAAATGTTGTGCCTTTTTATCTTTGTTCTTATCTCTTTCTAATTTTCTCTGAAATTCCCTCCATCGTGCAATAGTTTGCGTGCTTTCACTTCCCAGTATAAGGAGCATTTGAAAATCAACATTCGGGTATCTCTTGGCACTGGAGTTTTATTCTTGGGAATTTAGGCTGGGCAAGTAGAAGATTTCAACTCTCATATCAATCCATGGCGAATAGAATGGAGTTCAATCAAGTAGTTATGGCCTGGCTTTGATTATCTCGCTCGATTCCTCTGCATTGGCATCACCCAATGGTTCTGTCTCTCCTCGATGTACTACCAGAAGAACTATTTTGTTGCTTCTATTGCTGAAGGCAATGTTTGATCAGTTATACCTTTCGCCTTTACTCATCTTCCTATACCAGGCATTGACCTTTAATAGGTTTTCGGTTTCCGGCCAAGGTTAATCGCTTTGCACATGTAAGTCATTCATTTCTTCTCTATGTCTCATGGTTTTATCTTTCTGATTAATAACAAAACGACTTTTATTTCACGTTGTCTCATGAGCACAACATGCAGAATATCTATTTCTTTTGATCTTATTGCCTGATACGATGTTTAAAGCTCGGGGGATCTCCTGCGTCATTTCTCCTCTTTCTGTTATTAGGTTTCAACTTCAATGAGTTTCTATCTTCATATAAGGTTCATCGACTTGAACTGGTAGGCTATTATTTCCTTCCCGATTTATCTAAGTTTGTTGTTTATGAATGATTTTTATAAAATATAGAAAATGAATTTGAACGATGGTTTGGGTACTATATTTGTTTGTAAGCAAAAGAGATGTTTGTGTAGAACAGGCAGTTGTACTTTCCTAGAGCCCTGTCTAATTTTTTGTTGTTTGTTTCCGATACTTTATTTTTGTTCTTTGATTAGCTATTGAAATAATAAAATAAGATCAAAATTAGAAAAAAAAGGTTTCTTTTCAACTACAATATTTTCACTCATATTTGATTTTGTGATAACTAATGTTCTCAGCAACCATAATTTTCCTCATTAATTTTTATTCTTATGGTCCAACTCACTAATCAAATTTTGATATTGTTTTAGAATTAGTTAGAAATTGAGCTTTCATGCAACAGTCTAGGAGTTTGGGATGTTGAACTTGGAGTAGAAGAGTTAGGATTGAGTTTGAGAATGAGAGTGGTTGGGGGGGGGGGGGGGGAATTCAACTATAGCAGGTTAAGGCAGAGAAAAGGGAGTTACTGAGGGTAGTGATCGAATTGAGGAGGGTGTTGAAAGACGCAGAAGCAAAACTGGAGCAGTTGAAGAGAGAGAAGTGAGAGATGATGAGGATATTAATGAAAATGGAGAGGATATTGAAGGACATGGAAGTGTGCTGAAGCAGGTGAAGGCATGCAAGGGGGGAGATGAGCATATTTATGGAATTGGAGATGAGTTTTGGTTTTAGCGAACTTATTAGAACTGCCCCTGAGGAAGATGAGTTGGAAAAACACAGGAAGGGGATTGAGGAGTTGAAGAGCGAGTTGACAAGAACCCCAATTGGAAGAGAAATTGAGGGCCGCAGAGAGAAGGTCCATCAAATTAGCAAAAATGCAGTTGCAGAAGGAGGATTAGAAAGTGAATGTTTGGTTGAAACATATACTTCTTGAGATTGAAGATAGAGTAGATAAAAATTTGGTCGTTCAATGGAGAGTGGTGGCTATTGGATCATTAGGTTTATGGTTTTTGCAGCTACCACAACCTAATTCTATCTTAAAAGGAGTAATTATTGATTGATTTAATGAAGTAGGTCGATTCTTTATTCAGCATGCTGGAACTGATAGATAAGAACTGTCTAATTTTGCGTCATATTACTTTGATCGAGTCTATTAGTATATTGGAGGTAATCCAATTTTGTCGTTTGCTCTCAAGTTTTGATGGTCCTCTCTTAGCTGAGTTGTTAGTATATAGTTGACTTGAACCTACAACCCTCCATTTCTTTTTTATTAGTGGCATATTGCCCCCAAAATGAGAGCATTGAACCATTTACGTAGGATTGTGAGGTTTTAGATTCAGTTTCAAACTATCTATGGGTCGTGTGGGAATTCCAGTGAGCTTTTATACTCTATCTTTCTTAACAATCAACTAACTAATAACATATTAACTGGGCTTAAATATCATTATGAAAATGAGATGTTTTATACATTTTTATATTTTATTTTCTCAAATGATGATGATATTTCTCTGAATGTTCGACCTATATATTCTTTCTTTATGTTTCATCTCAATTGAAAGATTGTCAATAAAATTAAACGGGTTGATAGACTTTAACGTAACATAAAAAGTATAAAAAAATCAAATATAAACATTCCGGCCAACGAGCCGTGTTATAAGCTAGTGGTATAGAAGAGGAGTAACTTATTATTATTTTTTTTTTATAATAACTTATTATTATTATTGTTTTTTTTTTGTCATAATTATTGTTTTGTTGGACTTATTGGGACTTTTAATTCCTCGGATTATCTGTGCTTACATTTACAAGTTCACGGCCCATTAGAGAGCAAAGAAGAAAAGCCCACCACCAGTATTTTTCTCGCTTTATCAAATCAGATGAAGCCATTTTGTTTTCACTACATGTCTACACTCTGCATCCTCCCGCCAGTTCTCTAAAGTCTAAACTCCTAATAGGCATTTCCCGCGCCTAAGAACGAAACCCTAATTGATCAGATGCCCATCGTTTTATAGTCCCCTTTCAAGTTTCTGCTACAAAGATTGCTTCATCCGGCTAGATGATTTCTGATTGAAGCGCTGTAGAGGATTCCTTGCAACAATCTTTGGTCTGCATACGGCGGCAACAGAGCTGATCATCGGAGAAGAGGTGATTTCGTTTCTAGTATTCTTAATCGCTCGTTGTAGGTTACGATTGAAACGAATAGTAGATTCATCTAGATAGAAAGCCATGAACGAAAGCAGCTACGAATTGAGGAAGGCTGGGAAAAGGCCCCGGGAAGAAGGAGATACAGATTCTTCTCGTCCTGATAGGTTAAGCCAACTTCCAGGCTTCATTCTTTCCCACATCCTTTCATTTCTAGACACCAAATATGCTGTTCAGACCTGTGTGTTGTCCCGAGTGTGGAGATGCGCCTGGAAATATGTCTCCGTCCTCAGTTTTCGTAGTGATTCCTTCCAACAGTATTCGAGTTTCCAACTATATGTGGACGAGGTTTTGTCCCTCCGGTTTCCCTTGAGTGTACGCATGGTATGCTATGTTGATGATGAGAGCTCGGCGGAACGAGATCGTGGGCTGTTTGCCCGGGTCATCAAATATGGAGTTGCACATGGTGCTCAGCATTTAGTGATTGACCTGAACAATGGGAAGGATATCTATGCCAGTTGCAGATTCTCCAGTCTGTTGTCTGACACGATCTTTTGTTGCAAGACTCTCGAACTAAGACGTCTCTGGGTGGATACTGATTTCAGAAATTCTACCTTTCCGGTGCTCACGGATCTAACTCTGGAACAGTGCGTGTTGGTCTCTTACTATGACGAGGACATTAATCCTTTCTCTGGCTTTCCCTGTCTGAAGAATCTGGTCCTGACTGAGTGTGTCCACTCTGATATTGCTAATGACTGGGATTTCAGGAGTTTCAAGATTTATGGATCCCAACTGCTTAGTCTGAAATTGGATTGTCTGCATTGTACTAAGCTCGAAATATGCACACCCAAACTCAAATTCTTTACACTTGAGCATGACCTGGATTTCTTGAAAATTTCCAGCTTAAGGGTTCCTTCTCTCATTCATGCTGACATTCGGATCTCGGACGAGGAGAATGCAATGAACGATGATAACAAGGAACAGTTTATGCAGCGCTCGATTTTCTTGTTCCAATGTTTGAAGAGTGCAACATCTCTCCAGCTGGATTACTATAGCATCCAGGTATTCTCTATGATTCGTATTGTGTGATGGAACTTGTTCATCGTGGGAATAATGTTTTTAAGTTGGTTTTTTTTTTTTTTTTGTTATGTATAGGTACTGTCTAACATATCTGAGCTTCTGGAAAAGCAACCCTCTCCATTTACAAGATTGAAGTCCTTGGGTGTGGAAGCTCTCACTATACCTCACTCACTGATCGATTACTTTCTTAAAGGGTCTTCTAGTGTTAAACCAAATGTTAAGTATGGTGTTGGTAAATCATGTTTGACATAGCTTCTTATTGTGGCATGCATAAGCTAAAATTTTTGTTCTGTTGATGTCACTTGGGAATATTTGATCATACATTTGTCCTGTTCATGCTTGAGCTACTCGGCTTATTTCTGCTGCAATATGTGTATATATATCACTCTGTTAGTTTCTGAAGTCCAGTACCACTTTTCCCCGTTGGCATCACTTTTTTATGTCAAATATCTCTGGACTTCGTTCTTGACAGATCAAATGAGACTTCTGAAGATTACATTGCTTCAGCTTTGTTCTCCTTTGCTACTTCTCTACGCTTTTTCTTTGATTTGGGAGGAAAATTTCCCTGAAAAGTTCATTCTTCTGCCTAATTTTGTGATTCTGGAATCAGTTATCTTCCCAAACATTTGCTGCCTGCCCAATCTGGGTGACTTGAAAGATATAATCAGTCACAAGACCTGGTAAAGGAAACTTAAAGTCATATCCTGGAACGAATTGTCGGTCTGGAATGACTACCAGATTGAAATTTTCGGTCCTGGATGTACATTCTATCTAATTTTGTTTTCTTTAGAAGGTCCAATGTAGATGAATGAACCCTAGCTTTTATTAGCTCACTGAATAGAAGACCCAATGCATCTATTTAAGTTTTGATCTGGCAGCTCTAATACTTTTTTTTTTTTTAATTCTAAGGTCATGTTTGGAGGTTGAGATTATCTAAATAAATGCATTCATTGAATTGATGTATTCTAATTAAGTGTATTGTAGACTGAATATATGTATTTGAAAAATAAGTTGATTAGAAGTTGAAACTTGAGAGTATACCTTTATGTAAAGTAAAAAAGCAATGTCTATTTTTTATCCAAACCTTTTTCAAATTCTTTTATTTTAACCAAACCTATTTAATTCCTCATAATTATCCAAACGTTAACTCTCCGTCAACTTTTCTGTTAGTAATGCTGACTAAGCATTGACTATGATGAACAGACTTCCTACGTAGCAGTTAGAATACCATTATAATTATAATTTTTTATTCCCTCAAAAAATTAATAAAAACAACAAACAAAAAAACAAAACAGGATCTCACGTCTTCTCCCCTCCCCCCTCCCCCCTCCGCCTCTCACTACTCCTCACTCCTTCGATCTCTTTTTCAAAGATTCCTTCTCATTCACATATTCTTTCTCCCGTCCTTCTGGGTTTCCCGTCTCCGTTCAACACCATCACTCGCCGCCCTCAGTTCCCTCTCGATGGACGCATCATCCGAGGAATCCCTCCGCAGAGCTCTTACCGAGCCTCAATCGAGAAGAAGCTGCAAGCCACCGTTCGATTCAGTGGCGCGGAAGGCACCGACAACAACCTGGCTTTCTTCCTTGCAAAGATCTGGCGGCGATCTCAAACAGGGGAGGTTCGATTTCTGGGTTGAGGGGTTTCGATTTATGGGTTTGGGGGGTTCGATTTTTGTTTTTGGTGGTTTCGATTATTGGGATTGTGTGGAAGAAGAGATTGGAAAAGATATATATGTTAGGAGGGAAGAGGACGATTTGTGTGACAGGGAGTAAGGCAGGGGTTACAGGTGGTGGTGGCTGGATTTGAGGGGATTTAAACAGGTCAGTGGCCAGATGCGTCCGGTCCGATCTATACGGCAGGAAGATAGGGGTCAACATCAGTCAGATATGTGGGGCAGATGAAGAAGAACGACATTCTGGGTTTGTGTTTCTGGGTTTATTTACAGAGAAGAAAGGTGGGATTTGTACAGGGTTTTTACTTTTATGGGTTTTTGCATTTTTGCTTTTTATCAAGAAGAGATGGGATCTGGCTTTCTTGGGTTCTCTGGGATTTTTGGATTTTTTGTGCTTGTTGTGGGCTAGTGAAAGGAAAGATCAGTTCACTTAACCAGTGAGTGAAGAAGGGATTCGCCCCTGCTTTCCTCTCCTAATCTGGTTGTGATTCTTCCTATGTTCGTCTTCCTTCCCTTTCTATGTAAATAAAATCTGGATTTTCAAACATAGAGGGTAAGTATTACCCAATTAATTACATAAATAAATATATTTGTTTTAAATTTATAATAATAAAATACGTTTAATATTAATTTCCGATGTGTGTGATGATGTGGATGCTTACGTGGAGCTCTGTTACAAAAATAAGTAACAGTAATAGAACGAATACACATACTTTGATCAGTTACAATAAGTTTGGATAATAAATAGATTTTTGATAAATTTGGGTAAAATATAAGAATTTTGAAAAGATTTGGGTAAAAAATAGACATTGCCCAAGTAAAAAAGCCACATACATTAAGGAAGAAAAAGACTCAATCAAAAGAATCTCATGTTTTAGTTGAGATTTAGGAGTCGTTTGGAAGTTGGGATTGTTAAATAGATGTATTGTTGATAATGCATGTATAATATTATACATGCATTGTCGAATTTGATGCATTGTAGAATACAACGTTTGGTATGTGTGATTGTGTATGTCGCATCAACTAAAAGTTGAGACAAAACAATCTCAACTCAACAATCTCAACAATCACAACTAAAAGTTGAGATATAACAATCACACAAAATGAGTGATAGTTTCTGTCACATCACAGAAACAATCCATGTATTGTGTCTGCTAAAAAAACAAAAAACGATGCATTGTAAACAATACATACATAATGACAATCTCAACAAAATTATCGCAACTTCCGATTAGAATCACTAAGTATTAGAGTTATCACATTAGAACTCTAATACATGTATGGTGTGTAAAAATAACTAAAAAATGAGATTGCTTGTGTTATCTAAATACATTTATAGAATTCCAATATCCAAACAATCCATAAATATCAGCCAAAAGTTGAGATTGTTTGAAAGTTTTATAACCTTATCTTTTTCTTCCTTGTTTGTCCTCAACCTCTCTCCCTTGCTTCTCTCTATCGAGCAAATTTGTCTCTTCCGACCATCAAAATCTCGTCGAAAATTAACATAGAGCTACTAGAAGTCTTGTTGGGCGTTGGCCATCGAATCTACCTCTTCTATTACATCTCTCTGCCGAAAACCTACATTCTGTTCGCCATCGACCAAAATCTTTGTGGGATAAAGCAGAGTTACTAGAGAACAGACAAAGAGAAACGATGACAAACCCTTTTGAATCTACCCCCCTGCAATGAAACATCGCTGGAAATAAACACAATTACTAGAAATCTCATCGACCATCAAATTTACCTCTTCCTTTGCTTCTCTCTGTCGGAAACCTACCTTATGTTCACCATCAATCGAGACGACATGACTCGGTGGTCATCCTTTCTAAGCTACTTCCTCCATAATCTCATCGATCGAAAAATCCATTTTCATCTACTAGTATTCTTCCAGTTCTGGATTCACAAGAGGGAAGACCATTTATAATTCCACTAAAATAGAAAATCGGGTAGGAGTAAGAAGAGGAGAAAATGTGTCTTTCTAACCCAAAAAGATAAGTTACTATTTTATTTTTACAAAAATAAAATCCACCAAATAGTGTATTCGTCAAATATGCCCATTTAAATATTACATATTATCACAATACATAAATTCATAGAATACCCCATTCCATCAATTACATCCTAAATTTTGTAGATAATAATAGTCATATTTGTCCCCAATTATAACAATCGATCACTCTTATTTAGAGGGAAGAACCCGTCCAACAAAGAAAAGCACAAACACTTATCTAGTATCTAGAACGCAACCACACTAAATAGTCGAACCTCAATTCCTCAAACAAGAACGAGACGACAAATTTGATTCATGGATTTTCTTATATGGGCCTATGTTGCCATACACAACCGAAAAGAAAATTAAGGAAAGAGCCCATGCTCCTTCTCGCTTTTCCCGAGAGAAATTCTGTGCCATTTCTGCCCAATTCCCACCTCCCTCCCTGAACTGCAGTTTGCGCGCCTAAAAACGAAACCCTAAATCGGTGAAGTTTAGAATGTAACGATCGGTTAATCGGACCAAAATGCCCATAGCGTTCTAGTCCCCTTCCGCATTCTGCTTCTGCGTTTCAAAGACTGCGGTCACCTGGAGTTTGGATTGCAATATCAGAGGCGATTGCTTGTGAGTATTCTTCCTTTATCGAGGGACACAAATGAATTCGTGTTCGTTCGATGATTCTGTTCTTGCTAAATGTTTCCCATTTCTCATCCTTTCATATTAATCATTCTTGGGTTCCTGGAGTTCCAGAAATCATCAGTAGTTGCATCCAGTAGAAAAGCTATGGACAGCGACGACAGCAGCAGCAGCTACGTGATAGGGCGCGCTGGAAAAAGGGCGCGCTGTGAAGAAGAAGAAGAAGAAGAAGAAGAAGAAGAAGAAGAAGAAGAAGAAGAAGATGATGATGATGGAGAATTGGCGACTGACAGGTTAAGCCATCTTCCGAAACCTCTCATTTATCAAATCCTTTCGCTTCTTGACACGAAATCGGCAGTCCAGACCTGCGTACTGTCCCGAATGTGGAGATGCGCGTGGAAATATGTCCCTGTTCTCAGTTTTCGTAGGGATTCGTTTGAGCAATACTCGAGCTTCCAGATGTACGTGGAGGAGGTTTTGTCCCTCCGATTCCCCGAGAGTGTCTGTACGGTATCCTACATTGACAACGAGAGGTTGGCGGAACGGAGAGAAAGTCTGTTTGTGAAGGTCGTAAGATATGCATTATCCCATGGTGCTCAGCATTTAGATATGGACCTGAACAATAAAAGTGGCGTCTTTAAAAGTTGCTGTGTCTCTGATTTGTTTGGCATGGTCTCGAATTGCGACCTTAGGACTCTTAAGCTTCAACGTGTGAAGATCGAAATAGGATTTGATGCTTCTGGTTTCCGGATGCTGACAGATTTGAATTTGGAGCAGTGCCCGCTGGTCTCCGAGGTTGATGGGGAAGTCGATCCTTTTTCCGGCTTTCCCTGTCTTAAAAATTTAGTCCTGACTGAGTGCATCCACTCTGATTTTGTTTTTCGCGAAGATAAAAGGAGTTTCAAGATATCTGGGCCTCAATTGCTCACCCTCGAACTGGATTGTTTGATGGCTATGAGAATGGAAATATGCGCACCAAAACTCGAATTCTTCAAAGTAGGGCATGACTTGCAGTTCTTGAATTTTGCAAACTTGAGCATTCCTTCCCTCGTTCATGCTCATCTTCGGCTTTGTGATGGGGAGCCTTCGAGGGAGGATACCAAGAAACAAATCCTGCAACGTCTGATCTCCATGTTCCAAGGATTTAACAATGCAACATCTCTCAAGCTGGATTACCAAACCGTCCAGGTATTCTAATGTTGATATTGTCGTAATTTCTTTCGGGAATATTAACTGCCTTACGCTTTAAGTTTGTTTATGTTCTGTGTAGGTACTGAGCAATATCGATTTTGAGTTTCTGGAGCGGCAACCATCACCCTTTACGAAATTGAAGTCCTTGATTGTGGAAGCCATCTCTATACCTCACGCTCTGCTCGATTACCTTCTTAAAGGGTCTTCTAGTATGAAACCAAATGTTGAGTATGGATACGGTCAGTGTGTTTGTTAGCTATTTCAACATAGCTTTTGGTTGGGAGTAACCTGTAGTATGGCATGTTCGTCTTTGCGTTCAGGTCATCTTTGGAGTAGGTGTCTATGTAATTCACAAGACTTACTTGCTTATCTTGACTGCAATATGTCTTGCACAGTCGGTTCCTTAATAATTCTGTCATTTTTTTTTTTCACTCAGCAACATCTTTCAACGTTGGATAGCTTGAGTTCCAATCATGTCTGTTTAACTGAAGTTTATGATGATGGTTCGTGTTCCTTATCCTCTACTTTGTACTGCTTTTATTGTCAATGGCTTGGCGTTCTGAGTTTGGTGATCCACAGTGGTTGGAATCCACGGTGGCTTGTATTTGGCAAGGAGCTGAGATTGTAGATTTGGGACACTTGATTCAAGGGATTTAGTGATGGAATTGTGCTCAACTCTAGGACTCAACATTTTCGGACTTTTGGAGCTAAGGTATTCGATGGTTGAAAGTTGAATTGTGTTAAATTCCATCGTATGAAATAATTTTTTTTGCATGGACAAACCAATAATTTGAATCGATGGAATTCTCCAACATTTAAATTGTTCATATGAATTATAGTTAAAATCACACTTTAGAGTTCAAAAGTTTACGCTTTTATAAATCAGCTAAGTCACTGTGCCGCCTGTGCATGCTTCATTTGCTTCATGGTTTTTCAATCTGAAAGACACCATGGGGAGGCACACATCCAGAAGATAGTCTACTGTCTGTGGAATATTTGGCTATCCAAGAATGCTTTAATCTTTGACAGTAAGGCCCCTTCTCCAGCCTCTTCGGTAATTAAGTCGGCCCGTGATATCCTTGAATGGGAAGAAGCTCGAGTTTCGACACATTATTCGATTCCCTACCGACCAACTCAGTTACCTTCTCAATCTAGGGGTTCCCGTTTCATCACCGAACCACCGCCCTATACCCGAGTGATGTTCTGTGATGGGTCGTTCATCTCAGACTCGACTCCGGCGGCATTTGAGATTACTATTGTTAACTCTCAGGGTCGTGTGTACGACGGCAAGACTGGGACTTCCTTTGTTCTCATCCAATTCAGGCGGAAGCTTGTGGTCTTCTCAATGCTATCAGAGTTGCTTCTCGTGATAACATCCCAACCTGTATTCGTACAGATTGTCAGGTGCTTTCCCTTGCATTGCATCAGGAACCCTCGGCATGGCCTTGGATGTGTCGGGCTACCATTACGCGGATGGTTCTTCTTCTCGGGCTTGCACCATCGATTCGTGTTGAGTTTGTTCCTCGACGTTTGAATCGGGTAGCGGATTGGGTGGCACGACATGCTAGGGCGGGATCGTTACTAGTGGATTGGATTTTAATTGTCAATATTATTGCTCCACTCCTGTGACCACGGCTTTCCCGATTTCGGATGGAATAAAAGGTTGCTTATTGTAAAAAAAAAAAAAAAATTAGCAAAACACTTAAATCATAGAATCGTGCTTTTCCTAATTAATATAGTTAAAATCGTGTTTTAAAATTTAGAAGTTTACGCTTTTACATTTTCATATTACCAAATTACTTCTAATTAGAATTATGCTTTTAATTGCATTGTAAAAAACTAACACTATTTCTTCTCTAAATTTACTGCACACTCAACATTTTAATGATTTTATCAATTTTAATTTCACCCATTTCAATATTCCATCATCATATTGCCACCGAACATTTATAATCGAAAATTTTGAATCAATAAAAAAAAATATGAAAACCTTCAACTCACTCCTTATCGTCATGGTTTAAGGGTCAGATCCAGTGACAAGTTATTGAACCTTTACTCAGATCGGCTGGGACACCAACGATGAATGGCCATGCAGTATTCACCGCTTCCGACCGTGGCGGTGAAGCGTTTATCGCTTTTGATAGTGGCGGTGATGTTATTCACTGAAGTTGACAGCCACAGAGAAGCCCAAATATATATAGATTGAAAATATTTTTTTATAACATATGTATTTTGGAAATTTTTGTTAATAACGCTTATATTTTGAGATTTTTTCTACCCACACCCAACCCACTACCCACAACTTGTGGGCAGGCCCGACCCAGGCCCTGTGCTGGTCAGACCCACAACACAGGGCCTCAATTTTATTGGGGCCTCGTAATCAATTTAAGTCTGTATGCCCACAGAATCCATAGAGTATGGATGCTACCTTGGGCTCGCCACACAAACCCTTAGTCCGGAGGCCCCGTTGGGATGGCGAGGCCCATACTCGAACCCCTTGGGCTGGCGAGGCCCACACACACAAAAATCCAAAGTACAAAGGCGTAGGAGGAGAATCGAACCGTGGACCTATCCTTTTCATCAAAATAAGACGCAACCACTGAGCTACGGCTTGTTTGTTGAATCCAAACTAACAGTTAGGTATTTAATCTTCTTCTCTTTTCCCAAAATTCTCAACTTCCCAAAAATATCCAACGCCTAAATATGAATTGTACACACCCAGTTCTAATTATGTCAACCCGAAAATTTGAAAAAGTTAATTTCTAAGCGTAGATAATATTATTATTTTCCAATCATATTCTGAAGTTGTCATTTTTATTATTATTTAATAATTGTATTTTTAAAAAATTTATGAAAAAATGTTTTGGGGCCACATTTTAAATTGTCGAACAAGGCCTCCGATTATCATGGGACGACCCTGCTTATAGGTATGGTTACCCACAATAGGTGCTGGTTGGTGCGGTTTGCGGATTATCCACAATCCGCAACCCAAACTTCCACCCCTACTGCTGTTTCTCTTATATTTTGGTGCATCCTCTCTGATTTTGTTTTTCGTAAAGATAGGAGTTTCAAGGTGTCTGCCTATCTTTCCGGACCTCAATTGTTTGTTGGCTATGAGAGTGGAAATATGTGCAATGAAACTCGAATCCTTCACACTAGGGTTTGACATGCAGTTCTTGAATTTCTCAAGCTTGCGTGGTGGGTACTAATGTACCAATACAATTTGATGGCAATTGGGACATCATTATACAAAAGATTCCAAACTCTGAATCTTCAATGATAAGGTACTGTCATTTAATCGATTAAGTTTTTTGTACATTCAAAATTTTGGTCACTTAACCTTCAAACTAAAAACTTTCGTCGTTGATGAACCTAGTCTTCTACTAGATTTCGACTCTTAGGTCTCAACATCTTCCTTCAACCCACTCGCACAACTAGAAGATTCCGTCCACATCAAAGTATGATGGCTTTTAGTCTCAACAAACCAATCTATATAGTTAATGGAATAGCAACAATCAACCTTCAAAATTTTAAATTACTTTGAGATGTGAGTTATTAGCTACACTTTGACATTGAAAAAAATCTTTAGCATCTCATCAACATCCCCCCTGGTTATACTAAAGACACTGTTTGTTCATAATCATTTAGATATTAAATAGCATCAAAACTATCATATCATACATTTTAATTGTTTAAATTGTTTAAATAATAAGAGAATTCGGTGAATCGGTGTTGTAACAAACAAGCATCAAGCATCAAGCTTCAGGGCAATTTTCTGTAAAATCAGCCTATCATTTGGCGAGTAATTTACAGGGCCGTTCTTATTCATCCAAGCATCAAGCTTCTTTTATGGATCATAGTTTGTGGAATTGGGTTTGGAATAGGAAAGTCCCTCCTAAATTGCTTTTCTTCTTATGGCAGGGTATTCATAGAATCCTTCCTACTAGGGAGGCTTTGGTTGGGAGAGGATTGGACTTAATCCCAATTTGTCCGGTGTGTGGACGAAAAGAAGAAACAATTGAGCATCTTTTTTTTACTTGCTTGGTGGCCCGTAAGTTGTGGAGGTTACTGGGTTTTCAGGAGCTTTGGAGACGGGCGGAGAAACTTTCTTTTACAGGTTTTATCAGAAATACGCTGTGCAAAACTAATGGTTCGGATTCAGATTATGTCATTCTGCAGGTAATTTGTTTGTTCTGGAGGCTATGGAAGAATCGTTGTATGGTGGTTTTTCAATTCAAGCAGCTCTCTCTCGATGTTCTTGCTCATCAATGGTCTCATCAAGTTAAGGAAGTGGAGCAGGCTCTTTTATCTTCTACCCCAGAACCAAGATTGTCAGCTTCGTTGCCTGTGCAGGTCTCGATTGCAACACCAGGGATTCGGGTTACTTTTGATGCTGCTACTTCCAATTGTGGTTTTGGGACGGTTGGTTTTGTTTTCTTTGATTCTACAGGTGGAGTCATTGGGGCTGCAGCTCGGCGGTATGAAGCAATTAGTGATCCCTATGTGTTGGAAGCCCTGGGCTTGCGGGATTGTATACTTGATTGCTGCAGACGTGGGCTCCGATCCATATCATTTTGTGGAGATGCAAAATTAATCATTGACAAATGTGTGGCAAGAGATGCAGCGGACAACAAGATTGGTGCCCTGTTGCAGGAGATATTTTTACTCTTGGATGGGATGGATGTGGTTGATATTCAGTTCATTGGTAGAATTCGTAACAGAGCGGCTCATTGTGTAGCCCGTCATGCTCTGCTTTTGTCGCCTCAATTGTTTGCGAGGTTCGACTTCTGTTCTTGGCTTCGTTCTAGGGGAATATAACCCCTTTAGTCCCCTTGTATCTAAACGATTTCCTCTTCTGAAGAGTGATCTAATGAAAAAAAAAAAAAAGCAAACTCGTCATAACTTCTCATCATTTCGTGCATGTGGTCTACGGGCCGGATCCAGGGGTATGTTAACGTTCCTTAATTCCTCCGATTATCTGGGCCTGTTTGCGCATCCATTTGCAGCCCAAAAGAAATCCACTACTACTTTTCACGCATTTCCAATTTTCCACAGAGATTTTCCGTGAAGCCGTCCATTTCTCCCGCCTATCAACTAGCCAGTTCCCGCGCCAAATAAAAAAACGCAAAACCCTAATTGAATCATAGTTCGCGCTATGATAGGTCTGGATTGCAGCGATGGAGATGATCGCTTGTAAGTCTTCTGGGTTCGGGATACGTCATCGGAGGCAGGTGTGTTTGGTCTCTAACTCTCTGAATCGCTCACTTTAGGGTACGATTGAAGCAATTTTTTAGTCGCCTTCAGTAGAGAGCCATGAACAATTTGGTGAAAGGTGTGAAAAGGAGTCGCGAGGAAGAAAATGAGACTTCTACTACTACTGACAGGTTGAGCCATCTTCCACGCTTCATTATACATCACATCCTTTCGTTTCTTGACGCCAAATCGGCCGTCCAAACCTCTGTATTGTCTCGAGTGTGGAGGTGCGCCTGGAAATATGTCCCTGTCCTCAGCTTTCACCGTGATTCCTTCGAAAAGTATTCGAGTTTCCTGAAGTATGTCGACAGGGTTTTGTCTCTCCGGTTTCGATTGGATGTCCGCACTGTATCCTTCATTGATGGCGAGAAGTCGCCGGAAAGAACTTTTTTCCCGTTTGCAAAGGTCATCAAGTATGCATTGTCCCACGAGGCTCAGCATCTGGTTATTGACCTGCAGAATGGAGAGTATATCTATGAAACTTTCAGGTTCTGCTATTTGTTTGGTATGAACTTGAATTGCAACCTCAAGACGCTTAAACTACGACGTGTCTCGGTGGATACTAGATTCGATTTTTCTGGATTTCAGATGCTCAATGATCTGAATTTGGAGCAGTGCTTGCTTTGCTCTCTTGATGATGAGAATGTGGATCCTTTTGCTGGCTTTCCCTGTTTGAAGAATTTGGTCTTGACTCAGTGTCTCCACACTGATTTTGCTGATGGCGTGGGTAACAGGAGTTTCAAGATATCTGGACTCCAGTTGCTAAGCCTGAAATTAGACTGTCTGTTGTCTTTGAAGATCGAAATATGTGCACCAAAGCTTGAATTCTTCGCACTTGTGCATGACTTGGAATTCCTGAATTTCTCCAACTTAAGCATTCCTTCCCTCGTACATGCTGATATTCGGGTCTCTGACGAGGAAAAAACGATTGGGCTTGACAAGGAGCGCAGGATGCAGCATTTGATCGCCTTGTTACATGGTTTGAATAATGCAACATCTCTCAAGCTGGATAACTACACCATCCAGGTATTCTACCCTGTTGATAATTGTTGTGATGGAACTGTTTCTTTCTCGAATTTCAATTTCCTCTAAGGTTTAAGTTGGTTTCTGTTCTGTGTAGGTATTGTGCAATATTGATACCGAGTTTCTGGAGCAGCAAACCTCGCCATTTACGAAATTGAAGTCCTTGAAGGTGGGAGCTGTCGCTGTTCCCAGCGCACTGCTTGGTTACTTTCTGAAAGGCTCTTCTATGGCGACACCAAATGTCGAGTACGGATATGTATAATGCATTGGTTAACCATTTTGACATAGCTTCTGATAGGGCTCTCACAGTAGTACGGCGTCTTTTCTTTCTTACTTTCCATGTTGATTAGGAATAGCTCGAGTTTATCTAGTTAATTCATGAAACCTTCTCTCTTTTATGTACTGCACTATTCGTTCCTGAAGGATATAGCATTTTCGGCTCGGCAACATGTTTCCAATGCTAGATATTTTGAGCTTCAGTCATGTCACAACTGCTTAATTGAGGTTTATGATTGCAGACTTGCAGTCTTCAATAGGGAAGTACAGGCGGATCTTTCGACACTGCTGTTTCTTTTCTTTTCTTTTTTGTTGCTGCCCCTAGATGACAATAATGTGTGTTTCAAGTTTCAATATAGAGATTAGAGAGGTTGCTTAACTTGCAGCTATTCTGTGGGAGATCAGGTTCCATGAACTCACTCTCATGAGTTCATCCTTGTTAAAATTTAAGAATGCAGCTTGAATAAAGGGAGGATGGTTCTTGTGCCTTCCTTCCACTGTGTTTTACGGCTTATAATGACTGAGCAGTGGGGACTATAGGCTCTGAGAATAGTAAACAACTGTGATAAAGTACTGTTCATAAATAGTTGGACAAATTAATGTTGATGGATATTTAGACATAGTACTATTCATGAATAGTTAGAAAAGTAATGTTCGTGAAAAGAACTATTCATAAATAGTTAGACATAGTAATGTTCATCAATAGTTAGGGTTAATACCTTAGTTTGGTCTGAACTATATACATACTTTCTATTTTGGCCCGTGGTATTGAAAATTGCTATTCTGACCTGAACTATGTAGCAAACTTTCTCATTTGGCCTGGAGGCGGGTTTGCCCGTCAAATTAGACGGTCAAACCTGTTGACCGTTAGTCAATGTCCACCTCACCTGCCACGTCAGCTTTGAGGACATAAAAAATTATTTTTTTTTCTGAATTTTGTTTTCTTTCGATTAATAAAAATCATAAATCAAAAAAATTAATTAAAAGAACGAAAAAGGGCCCATTTTTAGCAAATGACAAGAAAACAAAATTCAGAAATAAAAAAAATAAAAATTTATGTCCTCGAAGCTGACATGGCATGTGAGGTGGACATTGACTAACGGTCAACAAGTTTGACCGTCTAATTTAACGGTCAAATCCGCCTCTAGACCAAATGAGGAAGTTTGCTACATAGTTAAGGTCAGAATAACAATTTTCAATACCACGGGTCAAAGTAGAAAGTATGTATATAGTTCGGGCCAACGGTCAACAAGTTTGACCGTCTAATTTAACGGTCAAATCCGCCTCTAGACCAAATGAGGAAGTTTGCTACATAGTTAAGGTCAGAATAACAATTTTCAATACCACGGGTCAAAGTAGAAAGTATGTATATAGTTCGGGCCAACGGTCAACAAGTTTGACCGTCTAATTTAACGGTCAAATCCGCCTCTAGACCATATGAGGAAGTTTGCTACATAGTTAAGGTCAGAATAACAATTTTCAATACCACGGGTCAAAGTAGAAAGTATGTATATAGTTCGGGCCAACTTAAGGTATTAACCCCAATAATTAGGTATAATGTGCACTATTGAAAAAGACATCTTGATTTATTGATACACATGTAGAGCGGATTTCAATATTATCAATCTATTCAGGATTCGATATAGAAAAATGTTACTTCGTAATAAATTCATGTAGAGTTGGAAACATAACTATTTTTTTTTGGTAGAAAACAAGACTATTTATTCTAGTAAGTGAGCGATATTATCCCCTCTCTACTGAAGTTCCCCCTCCCCTGCTGTCACGTAACCCTGTCACTGGAACAAAATGTTCTCCTAGGTTTCTAGTCCTCTCCGGTTCCTTTCCCCCACTTTCCTTTCGGCGTTACAGTTGTTGTAGTTTGCTGTTGGAAATTTTGTTTCATTTTAACTCCTCTTCTTGCTTCCGTTCCTTATCCATGCGGTTCATTGTTCTAGGTTTCCGAACTTGAAACAATCTATTGTTCTCTGCTGCGAAAAACGCCATGACTGAGTTTGGCGAAGCTGGAAACAGGAGCGGTGAAGAAGAAGCTACAGCTGACAGGTTAAGCCATCTTCCAGACTTCATTATTGATCACATCCTTTCATTTCTCGACACGAAATCCGCCGTTCAGACCTCTTTACTGTCCCCATCTTGGAGGTCCGCTTGGAAGAATGTCCCGGTCCTCGACCTTCGTCGGGATTCCTTCCAGCATTACTCGAGTTTTCGCAGCTTTGTGGAGACAGTTTTGTCCCTCCGCCATCCCCTTAATGCCCGCAAGATTAGCTACACAGACGATGAGAGAGCGGGTGCTAGAGACCGTGGTCTGTTGATTAGGCTCGTCCAATGTGCGCTTTCCGATCATACTACTCAACATTTAGTGATCAACCTGGCGGATTATATGGATCGTCCAATTTTATTCTCCGAGTTGTTTGGCTCGATCTTGGATTCCAACCTCAAAACTCTAGAGTTGAAAGGTGTTGCCTTGGACAGTGGATATGAATCTCCTTGTTTTCGGTTGCTGACGAGTTTAGATTTGCAAGACAGCAGTCTGATATGCACTTCTAAAGGGGGTCGTGATCCCTTTTCTAAATTTCCTAGTTTGGAGAATCTTGTCTTGAGTACTTACACCAGTAGTGGTCTGAGGGTCTCCGGATTGCATTTGCTTAGCCTTAAAATGTTACTTATGTTTCCGGTCGACCTTGAAATATTTGCCCCGAAACTCAGGTCCTTCAGCCTTTGGAATAATTGGACAGTCTTAAGATTTGCGTGTTTAAGCCTTCCTTCCTTAGATCATGCTCATATCCAAGTTCATGTCCGTAACTTGAAGAGGGAGGACGACAAGTATCGCATCCACAGCCGCCTGGAGCGAGATTTGATCTTCTTGTTCCAAGGTTTGCGTAATGCAAAATCTCTGAAGCTGCATTACTGGACCATTCAGGTATACTTTGGCTAAGTGAATGCTGCGAATGGTAGGTGAGTGGTTCCTTCCATCTTACATATGAAGTTGGTTTTTTTTGTTGTTGTTCTGTTTAGGCACTGAGTGAATTGTATGAGTTTCTGGAGCAACAACCTTCACCATTTACGAGATTGGAGTTGCTGATCGTGGAAGCTGATGGCATACCTTCTCAACTGGTCGATTACTTTTTCAAAGGAACTACTGCAGAACCAAAGATCAAGTTTCTCCCCACGTTAGCCACACTGCCATAGTTTCTCCTCGGCAGGTTGGTTTGTATTTTGTTTCTTTTCAAGTCACTTAGGAATAGTAAAAGATAGTTCTGTTCCAGTTGATCTCTCTATATATTTGGTAATCATTTGTGCTGTCTTGTGGTTTGTTGTTTGTTTTTTGTTCATATCTTTTGGACAGGCGGGTTCGTAGCTGTTGCAATTGTCGCCTGCCAAGGAGCTTGAAGCTGCTGGGTTTTCGCCTTTTCGGCCTTGGCCTCGTAATGCAGCCCCCTAGAAAGGCTTATGCTATCTTATTTTGGTGCCAGATAAATCGACTTCTATTCTGAACTGGGTTCTATTGCTGAAGTTGAAAGATGGCCAGCTGCTGTATAGCCAGTTTAAATGTCTGGATCATGTACGGTGAAGTGTCATCTTACATGGTGTAATTAAGTGATGCCACTCCATTATGTCTTGTTGCAGAATTAGCTATCTGGATTTACAGTTTGGACCAAACGTTATGAATGTCTATATATATATTGTACATAGATTTGAATGTTTACTGTGGAATTCGTTTTAGTGGGTGCTGTTTTCGGCCTGCACTGCAACTGCGAGGTTTGCTAGCTAGTGGCTTTCTACTTGATGATTGAGCATGTTTTGCTTTGGTGGGATGAAGTCTTGGTTTCCTTTCTACTGCACGTTCGAAGTCTTCGATTCCTAGCATTCTGGCTCTTGAACCTCGAAACTTTTGTCCATTGTTCTGTCCAAATCTTCTAAGTATGGCTTGCTTGCAACAAAAGGTTCACGATCACTAGATCAACCTCTATCTGGCTCTGCAATCCGAATACCGATGTTTTCACCTCGTGTGACTTCTATTATTATTATTATTTTTTTTTTTGTGTAGGATGTGACTTCTATTTCTTTGGAGGGAGAATTGACAATAAAGTGGAAGCATGTCAATGATAAGAGAGCATGAGAACAACTTTGCAGGGGTAAAATCTGCTAATCGAAGAGCAACTTCCAAGCTTGTAATTAAGTGATGCTTGGTGGTTGACTTGAAAAGCAATCTATTTCTGCTTGGAATTTCTTGATGGGTACGCCGGAAACAAGATTCCCTGATGGTATATGGTACACAAGTAACCACTAAAAATTTTGAGCTCAATAAGAAAATCAGTCATTACTGTTAACAAATGTTATATTCAAACTTTAAGTAATTAATAAAGATTTTAAAGTGCAAATTGGCAAATGCCTTTATGATATGTTATTGTAGTCACCCGATCAGTCTTATTATCATGAGTACGGATCGAACACCTTACAATATGATTGAGTTAACCGATCATTATAAGAACATTATGATTTCTTGTAAGTAATTTTTTTAAGATATCTATTAATTTTATTGACAAAGTTTAAATTATTTTAAGGATTGATTTGCCCCAAATGATAATTTATCGGAGCCCTATGGAAAAACCTGAAAATTGAATGAGCCATTGGTTGTTTTGGCCATTCAAGTCAAGCTCTATAGTGACAATAGATAGCTCGAAAGTTGTAAATTTGGAAAATCGGTATTTAATTTAATTTTAAACTTATTCCCGTGAATTTTTCCTCTGACGGTCTGATCCGTCTAGGGGTGTTCAAACGGTTTGGTTACCATGGTAACCGTTTTAACCGGTATTATTTGGATAATTTGGTTCGGTTAATTTGGATAATTGGTTTGGTTTGGTTAAAGTTTTTAGCTTGTTCGGTTTAGGTGGTTTGGTTTCAGACACTCCTAACCAGTCAAACCAAATTAACCAGTTAAGTAATTAGTCATATATCTAACATATATTATATACACATACTTAATACTTTGCACAACCACTCAAGAGTTAACGTTCATCCCTTTTAGACTCATAAAATATAAAGCTCAATATTGCTCATATAGTGTATATTTGTACATGTAAAATGTAGACCACAACATATGAACGCCTAATTTAGATAAATTTCATACATTATGATGGATGAAAACTTGAAAGGAAGGTCATTTCCAGCCTATGATAATTGCTAAGAGACTAAGTCAATTTACACAAACACAACAATTCATTAACCCATACCATTGTCATAAATTTTTGTTAGGTGAATACTTCTATACTAATCGTAAGATAATTGTCTTAGTTGCATGTATTTTTATTAAGGGTCAACTAAAACTACATGTTGATTGTTGTGTTTTATTCATGATATAAATTGCGAATTGTTGCATTAACGGGACAATTTTCATCGTCAATGATAATGTGATTTTATATTGGTTAATCTGGTTAACCAATTAACCAAACCGATTAAACTTTAGTTTGGATAATTTGGTTGTTGTATTAGTTTGGACGGTTTGATTATGATATTGTATTCCATGATTAATGAAATTTAACCTTATTTGGTTTGGTTATAACCATGGTAACCATTTAAACACCATAGACCCGCCTATTTCCATATGAAACCCTAAAAATCCCGCGAAATGTCCACACTTCTCTCGTCTTCTTCAATATTCAAGCTGCAGTCACCAGACTGTGAGGAGTTTCTAATGAAGCTGTGGGATTGATTCATCGAATCGGTCTTAGGGTTGGAAAACTCCGGCCCGCGTCTCTCCTTGTAATCATCATCAAGAACAGGTGAATTCGGTGTTTCCTTTGTTTGATAAAGTGATGAATTGCGAATTCGCGCTTGTGGATTCTTTATTTTGTTGAATTTCTGTTTCTGATATTCACATTTCCTCTATTTTTAGGGTTCCTAGATTGGAGAAATTTGCCGGTGGAAATGCAATGACGGACAACGACCGCGAGTTAGGGATAGCTGGGAAAAGGCACCGTGAAGAAGAAGGTACTACTGTTCCTACTGACAGGTTGAGCATTCTTCCGGAACCCATTCTTTCGAACATCCTCTCATTTCTTAACACTAAATCAGCTGTTCAAACCTGCGTACTGTCCCGCTCATGGAGATTCACCTGGAAACATATCCCTGTCCTCAATCTTCGCCGAGATTCCTTTCTAGAATATCGTAATTTCCGTAGGTTTGTGGGTAGGGATGACAACAAAACCCGAACCCACGGGTACCCACCCGACCCAACCCGGTCAACGCGGGTAAAACCCGAGTTGACGGGTTTTGGGCCGGGTTCGGGTTTAAACCCGCTACACTATTCACCGGGTCGGGTTGGGTTTGGGTTTAGGTAAACCCGCCCCATGGGTACCCGCCCACACACATATAATTATTTTTTCGGTATATTTAATATTCTGAATGATATATCTTCCTTAAACAATTAATATTCTTTATGTTTGTGGAGACATATATAATTAGTTGTTTCTAATTGTTCAGAATGAAGTTTGATATTATGAAGTGGAGAGTGAAGAAACTTAGTTGACGAGTAAGAAGCTTTCAATTAATCTTATTGTTTATAGATGTTTATCTTTAATTTTGAACAATTTGTATTGATCATTTGTGGTTTGCTTGTATGCTCTAGATTGGTGTTTTTTTTTTGTATGAATAATTTGTATGAGAAAATTAATGTTAAACTTTTATTTTGAAAGAAACTTGTTATTGTAAATTTTTTACCACAAAAACCCACGGATACCCACGAACCCGCGGATACCCAGCGAGTTGGGTTGGGTTTGAGTTTTTCAAACCCAACGGGTTTTATCCCGGGTTTTTTTGGCGGATAAACCCATGGGTTTGGGTTTGAAAAAACCCGCCCCAACCCGACCCATTGCCATCCCTATTTGTGAGCAAGGTTTTATCTTTCCGGTATCCCCATAATGCTCGCAAGATCAGCTACACAGACGATGAGGGGTCAGAGGATAGAGACCGTATTCGGTTGATTAGGGCCATTGAATATGCGGCCTCCCATAACACCGGACATCTAGTCATTGAATTGAAAGATTATGCTAAAGAAAATTTCAGATTCTCTGAGCTGTTCAACTCAATCTCGAACTCCACTCTCAAAACAATGGAACTAGGAGGTGTTGCCCTGGATCGTGGGTTTGAATCTCCTAGTTTTCGGTGGGTGACGACTTTAGATTTGAACCGCTGTATGCTGTCTCATAATAAGAAATGAGATGCTGATCCTTTCTCTAAATTCCCCTGTCTGGAGAATCTTGTGTTGAATGATTGCCTTTGCATCTCTGGACAGAGTCTCATGGTCTCTGGACTCAATTTGATTAGCCTGAAACTCATAGATATGGGTTTTAGCAAGATTGAAATATTTGCTCCAAAACTCAAGTCTTTTAGCCTTTGGAGTGATGGGACACCTGTAGGTTTTTCAACTTTCGACCTTCTTTGCCTTGATCATGCCTATATTCAAGTTTTTGATCCTTCCATGGAGGGTAGAAAGGTATTAGTGGAGCAACATTTGACTGCCTTGTTTGAGGGTTTGCGTAATGCAAAATCTCTGGCGCTGCACTCCTGGACCACTCAGGTATACTTTTGTTGTAGTAAGTTTACTCAGATGCAATAGTTTTCTTGCAAGAAATGTAGAACCTTACATTTAAGTTTGTTTTCTTATGGTTAGGTGTTGAGTGACTTTGATGGATTTCTCGAACAACCCTCTCCCTTTACTAGATTGGAGTCCTTGTTTCTAGAGTCCAAACATCTGCCTCACAAAGTGCTCAACTACTTTCTCGAAGGACCCACTGTAGAACCAAAAGTTGAGTTGTTGCGGATGTAGGAATTCACTGCTTTGCCATGGTCTTTGATCGTTGGATTTAGCAGGTTGGTTTTTCCATTCTTTTCAAGTCACTTGGGAATGAATCATCACACATACACTCAGTTTTTTTTTTTTTTTTTTGATAATGGTGAAGCTTTATTAGAAAAGAGAACAGCTGTACACAAGGAAACAGGATCAAGAGAGATGATCCTAAGCAGTTCAGAGAGAAAGTAAACAAGTCAACAGAGATAAAAAGAAGAAAAAAAAAAAACGAAACGAAACGCAACAAGAAATCCCCAGCAAAAGACAGCCCCCACAACGGACACTCAAATCACCTCCCGTCCATCCTTAAGCTCACCCCCTAAACACCTCAGCCCGCGAAAACCAAATACTTTCCCCCACCGCATCAAGCAGTAACGACAACAAAGATTCCGCGCAGCCACAGGAAACAGTTAAAGAACAAGCAAATCCCTCGCGCAGCCACCGGAAACAGCATCGCACCAACTCTCCGCCGGGAAAAACCCAATAAGAAGGGATCTAGCAACTTCCTTCATCCCCGATGAGCCGCGCGATCCCCTGAAACAGCCGTATACATACACGAGAATCCAGAACCCACATCCTCCTCACTAATCCGTTACTAAACTAAGTCCTTCTCTGACAGCCATCTCCTTCCCTCTGCTTTCTGCACCTTCCCGTTTACCACCATCCATTCTAGGGCCTTCCTCGCCGCCTTTTTTCCCACCACCATCATGGATGTTGCTTTATCCTCGAACGTCCTCTGGTTCCTCTCGAGCCACACAGCCCACCAAATGGAATGTAAAATGCATCCATCGAACCACTTCTCAATTTCATCTCCATCTGCAGATGGCCAGTTTGCTATAATTTGAACGATCTCACCATTCCATCTCGGTGTCCCACTCCTCCTGCAGAATATCATACTCCATATGTTCCTAACGTATTCGCATTCCACAAGCATGTGATGGACAGACTCCTCGTCCTTCATACAGAGAACACATTTATTCGCTAAACACCAACCTCTCTTCTTCAAATTGTCTAGAGTTAGCACTCTATTGTGGTAAACCAGCCATATGAAGTAGCAGATTTTACTCGGAATCCACGAGACCCAAACTTTTTCCACAGGGAAATCTTCTATATCTCTTGAACGAATGCCTGCCAGCTCCCTATATAATGATCTCACCGAGAAATTCGAGCTTGCCTCTTGTTTCCAAGTGATCCTGCACGGACTATGAGAAGAAAATGCCAAATTCACAGAGTTTAACAGATTCATAAGATTATCCCTCTCCCTTGCTGCCCCACCCCTCAAATCATATTTGAAATCAAGATTCCAACTCACCAAATCACCATGGATGTTCGCAGTGTCGGATAGAAGAGCTTCAGGGTCAAGGACAGCAGCGGCGACGCGAGGAAACGAAGCAGCCAGCACAATCCCAGGGATCCAACGGTCGTGCCAAAAGGAGACTTGAGTACCGTTCCCCGGGTCAATCGCAGCAAAATTCCAGAATTGATCATATTCTTTACTGATGTTAGCCCAAACAGACTTGGAGAAACCACTTCTTACCCTCTTGGTCTGCCAGCAGGAGACTTCATTCGGATATTTGTAATTAATCAATCCGCGCCACCAACTTCCTCTCTCTGTTGCGAATCTCCATAGCCATTTTGAGAGCATGGCGTCATTGAATAGCTCCAAATCATGTATTCCAAGACCTCCCTTCTTAACCGGCGTCTTACATAACTTCCATTCCATCAAGGCCATCTTATTACCCTCCGACTTCCCGCTCCAAAGAAATCTTCTTTGGTACCTTTCAAGATCCTTAACAACTGGCTTCGGAGCCTTGAATAGTGAAAATAGATAAGTTGGAGAACCAGAGAGGACCGCATTAATTAAAACTAGCCTCGCCCCAGACGACAAGTTCCTGCTTCCCCATCCGCTAAGTCTATTTTGGTATCTTTCAACTATTCTATCCCAAACCGATCTATCATTCGGTTTCGAGCCAAGAGGGTAGCCAAGATACTTCGGAGCGTCACTACTCCACTTACACCCGAAAATGGCTGCAAAATAACTCGGTTCTGCTACGTCCCCCACCGTATACATGACGGACTTATCCAAATTAATCCTCAAACCAGTCACCGATTGAAAAATCACTATAGTAGCAAGGATGTTCAGCACCTGGTCATGATTTGCATCGCAGAAAATTAAGGTGTCGTCAGCGTAAAGCAGGTGTGTCACTTCCCCTAACTTCTTACCCTCGTCCATATAGAAACCTTCGAACTTCCCACTAGCTCTCACTTTATCCAGCATCGTGGAAAGGACATCCATCACCATCACGAACAAACCTGGGGATAAAGGGTCCCCTTGGCGAAGACCTTTGGAGACCGGGAAGTAACCGTTAGCTTCTCCGTTGACGAGGATGGAAACATTATAATCGAACATCGAGCCTTTCACCCATCTCCTCCAACATTCCGGAAATCCCATCGACTCCATAATCTTCAAAAGACACCCCCAGTTAACATTATCGAAAGCTTTTTCGATATCGAGCTTGAACATGAGACCAGGTTTTCTGCTCTTCCTCCTGCTCTCTACCACCTCATTCGCAATGAGTCCCGCCTCCGCAATTTGCCTCCCTTTTACTGAAGAGTGTTGTTGTTTTGAAATAAGCTTTGGAAGTACAACCCCCAATCTCTTCGATAGAACCTTGTTGATCAATTTATTGACACTACCGATCAGATTTATCGGACGAAGATCTTTGATCTCTTCAACCACGTCTTTCTTTGGAGCCAGGCAAACGAAAGAATGAGAGACGCACTTTGGGAGGGCACCTGTATCATGGAACTCCTTGAAGACCTTCAGAACTTCACCTTTCAACCATCCCCACCCCCGTTTGTAGAATTCCAAATTCCAATGTAAATCCGTCGGGTCCCGGGGCCTTACTGCCGTCGCAATCCCTAAGCGCCTTCCAAATCTCCTCCTCCGAAAACTCTCTGCAAAGCAAAGATCTATCCGAGTCATCGAGATGGTGCTCCCAAACCCAACAAGGGAACGGCCGAGAAACCATATCTTCTTTGAATAGATTCTGGTAGAACCGAACAATCCCGGTAGCAACCGCCCCCCCCCCCCCCCCCCCCCCCCCCCCCCCGAATCATCCACTGTCCTCCCCTCAATCTTAAGCTTCTCCACCCTGTTAACCTTACGTTTGTAGTTCGCCATTTGATGGAAATAACCATTGTTCTTATCTCCTAACTTTACCCAAACTTCTCTGGATTTTTGCCTCCAGCAAATCTCTTGGAGAAAAATATCCCTCTTCAGATCAAGTTCCAACTTATCTCTTTCTTCTTTTTCCCCATCCTGCAGAATTCTATCCTCTTCGGCCCTATCCAACTCCTTGATTTTACATAGTAGATCTTCAACCCTTTTATCAATATTTCCGAAAACTTCTTTATTCCAGACTTTCAGTTTAGCTTTAATCAAGTGCAGCTTTCTTGCAAATAAGAAGATATCTCCTGACCCCTGAACGTTTTTTCCCAACCAGTTGACTAGTTCTTGGAAAAATCTTGGGTCTTCCAGCCACATATTCTGAAAACGCCATGGCCTTTTGACTTGCTTGTTATCACCCCACTTCAGTACAAGGAGGTTATGATCTGATTCGATACCCTCCATAGCCATCAACACACAGTCCGGGTACAACCGATCGAACTCCTGAGAGATCAGCACTCTATCAATCCGCGAGAGTAACCTACTATTCGACCCATGACTCCATGTAAACTTGCAACCACCAAGAGGAAGATCAACGAGCCCATTCCCTTCAATGAAAGAGTTGAACTCCCCCATCAGCTCTGAGTTACGTCTCGAACCAACATAATCGTTGTGGCATCTGACCAAATTGAAGTCCCCCGCAATACACACCGGCATCGACTGCTGTTGCCAAAACGTATAAAGTTCCCTCAAGAAATCTAACTTCTCTTGTTTCTCCTGCGGACCGTACACTACAACCAGCTGCCAGTCCAAGCGAGAGCTTAAGTCTCTCAATTCAATTGCGAATTGCGATGAAGTACTTCCCTTCCAGGCAAGACCTTTTATCAAAGAAAACTTTATCCCACATCACAGCAATCCCTCCCGAGCTTCCTCTCGCGTCTTTCGCGACCCAACCGCAGTCCTTACTGATACAAATACTTCTAATCAAACTATCCGAACATTGAGCCCACTTAGTTTCCACGAGACCCACAATCTTAGGGTTATGCCTTCCCACAAGGCGTTTGATTCTGCATCTCTTATCGCCGTCACCCAACCCCCTTACGTTCCATATACAGACAGCAGAACTCATTAATTATGCTTCGGACGAGAACCTACCCTTTCCTCTTTTGCACTTCCTCGGACCCATCGGTAATGGCTCCGGTGGACCCAGTCGGTGACATTCCATTTCCAACTTAGATCTTGAACTTCTGACCTTTCTCTTATGCATATCTGTTGCTGCTTGTGAGAACACTTCTTCTGCCGTTCGATCTCCTTCGGAACCTTCAAAACACAAAACTCTACCGACAGAATTGCAAGCGCCAATCAAAGTTACTTCGTCGAATGGGAATTTCTCAGAGTCCCACTCTCGTCTCGACTCAGTAATCAAACAGGAAGGAGATGGCCATTCCCTACCCTCAGCCATTGAATCTTCCGCAACCCCCGAGGCACCCGTCGGAGTTTGGGATACCCAGCAATCTGGACTAGCTTCGGACGTTGTTTCCGACCCAACACTGGATTCAAAAGAGGAGCTTTGATCGCTCGTCGATACAGGCAACTCATCAAAGTCAAAAGAAGCCCCTCTTCTCTGTTTCAAGCCTTCATGCGCAGCCTCCAAACTCATAGTGATGGGAAGTCCACGTACAAGAACCCGAAACCCGTGCAAACTGATGTGAAATTCCAGTCCGTTGTTTACTCTAGGCCCACTTGAAATCCATGAAATTCTCATAGACTCGAAAATATTCCAAGGTGACCCATAGAGCAATTCCCCCAAGAGGCCCAGGCGTTTAAAAATCGTCCACTGGCTACAGGGCCCAGTGGTCTCCGAAATAAGGCCCGCCCTATTCTCTAACTCGAGCCCTTGGGATGTAGACTTTCCGGCCCACAGCGGACCTTCTTTCCTAATCCATTTCTTCGTAACTCTATGACTGCCCATTAAATATAACCTTCTTCCCTGTTCCGCAGCCGCCACTGAGGAGAACAGCGATTCGCCTCGGACTCCACCCCTCCATGCATGCGTGTCCCTCGTTGCCTCCCCCAATGAGACGTCCGTTGGGACAGACTCTTCACCGGCGGCACCGAAATTCCGACCACAATCGATTGATTTCCAAATTTGAGAATAACCTTATCTGGAATAACTCTGACTTTCCTGATCCTAATCCTCACAAAAGGGAAACACCACAGATTCCAATCAATCTCAAGAAAATCGCCGCAGAAGTTACCGATGGTTTTAATCAATTCGACGCTCTTAAGATGTAGGGGGATATCTGTAGCCAGAATCCATGTGACTTCCCCGCATGGAGCTACCTCCTCCTCTGTCCAGCTGGTAATCTCCAACTTCACACCTCTGAAGAACAAATGGTTTAGCTTCTTAATTCTCAGCGCCTCGGCCACGCTTGGGCATACCAAGAACCAGCTTCCATCAGATCTGTCTTCGATGGCAAAGTTATCATCTATCGCCCAATTCCGAACCGCCCACCTTCTAAAACTCGGGATATCACTCGCCGTGAATGACTGATTAGCACACCACCGGATTATTAGGCTTCTTCCCAGATATTCACATCTTTCTTGTACGCCCTCCTTTCCTACATCTATATACCTTTCTGATACATGTCCCATAATTGTGCACTTCCCCGCTCCATAGAAACCCCCTCCCTTGACGGCTTCAGCATACGATTTCCAGAGATGTCTTCCACTTCCCGACTCAGCATCCGACGAGCCCTCAGTTGACATGGTCCCGTAGGAGTTCCGAATTCTCCATCTCAGTTCTTCCCTATAGAATTCACTAAGCAAGAATATAATGGGAGCCCATCCCTTTCGATGTCTGTCTTCCGGAATAATTTCTTTGAACGTTCTTCCGTTGCTTGCCTGTTCTGAAATCTGAATGTACTGACCCTGCCGATTTATTGCGCTACCAATGTGAATTGATCTTCCACCACTGCTCTTCACACAACCTTTTGGGATCCTCCAGTTACTTCTAGCAGCAGTTTGGAGAACCCCCTGTATCCACGAAATGAGAGCATCATCCAAGATAATGTTCCACTTTCTTTCTCGCCATTCCACCTGCATCTTGTATCTCCTCTCCCTACCGGGCCCGATCCTCCTTACTGACACTCAGTTATTTTTGCTTTTAACAGATTGTTCTAATTCATTCAATGGACCTGTTGACTTATTTGATAACCATGAGTTGTTTTGTGGTTCTTTGTTATGCCTCTTGGTTTCTGAAAGACGCAAGCTGTTTTGGGCTGCTTCGACAACTAGAGTCTTATCTTTATACCTGCCAAGGAGCTTGGAGCTGCTGTTTCTTTTTTCTGCCTTTGCTTCTATAGAAAGTGCCCCTTAGGGAGGTTAATCCTACGTTAGTTCTGTGCCAGGTAAACTGAATTATGTTCTAAAGTGGGCTCTACTGCTGAAGTTAAGTTGTATATGTATGTGCTGGTATTGCCAGTTTGTATGTCTGAAGAATGCGTGGTGAGTTTCTAACATGATGATGGGATGCCATTCCATTACAGAACCAGAATACTGGAATTTATGAACATGTACATGTCGTACGGTTTCTTGACTGTTCAGTATTTATGGTCTTAGTCATACTGGTACTTTTTACACAAAATGGTGAGGTTACTAGTGACTTTGTATCTGATGATTGACGGTGTTTTGCTGTGGCGTTGGAAGTTTTGTGTCATTGTCATTCCCTCGGCTCACATGTCTTTGCGTTCAGACTCTTGACTTCAACACTTTCGCCAATGTCTGTACGAAAGTTCCCGAGCAATAAAAGGGGCAGGATTGCTAAATCTTCAACTCTATCCTGCTGCGTTTGAATGCTACTTTATTTTCATGGTGGCCTTAGTTGCTTTCTACAGACATATCAAATTATCAATGGCATGGATGACTTCGTAGCTGGGTAACTTTGCTACTGCATCCATCAAAGCGACTTCCATTATTGTTTTATTGTTGGTAGAAAATGTACTTTAGCTTCCATTTTATCCCATCTGACTCATGTTTCCAAAGCTTCATTTAGCTTGGTTATAGTAGGCCTGGAGTTCAATCAATGGTGTAAGGGTTTGTATTACAATTTTCAATGAAGAAATCTTGCTCATTATTTCTTTGAAGTTCTTTCCTTCCCTCTCTCATGAGTCATGCCATTGCATACATGTCAATGTTTTATTTCACTTTGAACAATGTGATGGATTAAAATGACACGGTTTTCCGACTTTCTTATCAATATTGCTTCTTTTCTCTATAGACTATACAAATTTGGAGAAGGGAGTTGATTTGCAGAACTAAGTGATATCTCAGCCTGGAATTCTCGACCCTCAAGAATGATTGCAGGGCCATGTGCAGGACGTCTAGTGAATTATGTTGGAAGGTTCGTGCTCTCTTCTATGGTCTTAATCATTTAACACCATTAGCACACAGTCGAGCTGACTTCTACATACACCTCCGAATGAAAAATTACCGGTGTGGCTTGACCAGATTGTGGAAGTTAGAGGACTTATTGGGTCTTTTGTAGGCCAGTTAAAATTTAAAAGCCCGAAGATTTTGTCATTCAATCCATTCCCCTGCATCTCCCCTCCCTCTTTCGAGTTTTGTCAGGCGTACCAACGAAACCCTAACATCGGTTAAATTAACTTTTCTAGCTTTATCGTCCTCTTTATCTTCCTGCTTCGCCCTCCATCGATTGCATGTGGAGTTTCCGCTGCGGCGGTGGGGCTGATTCATCTCTTACTCTTAGCTCGGGAAAGCGCCGGGAACAGTTTTCCCCCTGTAATTATCCGAAAAAGCAGGTTAATTCTTGCTCGTTGATTTGGTTCCCAGAATTGCAATTATCCAGAAGAAAGCGATGAACTTGGACAAATGCAAATTAGGGGAAGCTGGAAAAAGGACCCTGAAAGAAGTAGACACTACTACTAGTGTTACTGACAGGTTAAGCCATCTTCCAGAACCCATTATTGATCACATCCTTTCGTTCCTCGACACCAAATGGGCTGTTCAAACCTCTGTATTGTCTCGGGCATGGAGGTCCGCCTGGAAACATGTCCCTGTCCTCAGTCTGCGTAGTGATGACTTCCAAGAATATTGGAGTTTCGTAATGTTTGTGGATGATGTTTTGTCCCGCCGCCATAACCTTACTGTCTGGGAGGTCAGTTACCAAAACCACAACGACCCTGAAGACGGTATTAATTCCGAGGAGGAACGATGTGCTAGTATGTGTCCCAAGGTAATCGAATATGCTTTATCCCATGCTGCTCGGTATCTATTGATTGACCTGAAAAGCCCTAGGGAATGGGGGCGCAGTTGTGAATTCATCGAACTGTTTGGCTCAAACTTGATCTGCAATCTCAAATCTCTAGTGTTAAAATGGGTTAATCTTGACAGCGGATTTGGATCTTCTGGTTTCGTACTGCTGACAACTCTACATCTGACGAACTGCTTGCTGAGCTCTGGTCCGGAGGACCTTGTTCCCTTTCCTCGATTTCCTCGTCTGAAGAATTTAACCATGGAAGGTTGCCACCACGAATCAGCTGTCAAGATATCTGGACCACAACTGGTTAGGCTGAAATTGTATAACGTGTCCGTTCACAGGATTGCAATAGTTGCACCGAAACTCAAATTTCTTAGTGTCCATGGAATGATGACGTTTTCCGACTTAAGCCTGCCTTCCCTGTATCATGCTGATATTTCGTTGGATTCCACTGACTATTACATGTATAGCAAGGAATTGTTGATTCGACAAGTGTTATCCTTGTACCGAGGTTTAAGTAATGTGATATCTCTCCTGCTGGATTCCAATATCATTCAGGTATTCCTTAGTCGATGTTGTTGTATATTGACAATACCGGTGTTCCTTCCCAAGAATATTATTTCTTACATGCTAAGTTGGCTTTTGTTCTTTGTAGGTATTGAGCAAAAATTATGAGCTTCTGGAACAGCAGCCATCTACCTTTCACAAGATTGGAGTCCTTGATTGTGGAGGCTGACAGTTTGCCATATGCAGTGGTCAATTGCTTTTTTAAAGGAACTTCATGTCCAGAACCAAAGCTCGAGTTCCTTTAGAATCCGATGAGCCGACTGCCGTGCCTTGGTTTCTTGTATGATACAACGAGTTGGTTCCTTACATGACGCAATGAGTTAGCTGTTTCTCTCTTTCTTTCTCAGGTCAGTCAGGAATGTTTATGTCACTTAGTAGTTATTCTTAATGATAGATTGCTCCGATTAGCATGTATGACCTGCTCAGTTTGCAAGTTCTGAAGTGTCAGTTGACTATTGGTTCGCTTTGAGAATCGTTTTGGTCATGTGGTTCCTTTGTTGTTCTTACCCACCATGCATGCTATAGCCTAGAAGAGATCATTTGCATTTTGCTATCAAGGAAATTCACAGCCTGCTGCTGTTATCTATTTACTGTGCATGTCAATTTCGTATCAGCTCATTCATTAGTCTTGATGTCAATTGCGATAATCGGAGATAAGAGATGTATGGGTCGAAGTAGCAAACTTTGACCAATTTCGTGCCTTGGTGCCTTTATTAGCATTAATATCAGTACTGACAAACCATTAAAGCGAACTGTTAGGCCTCACACATTCGCAGGTCTCGATAATAAGGCATGGAATGGGCATAGAAAACCTAGAAGTCAACTCTGGCTGCCTTGTTTCTCTGTTCTACAAAGCGGGGCTTGTTTGACCAACATCAACATGACAACATGTATACAATTATGGTTGTTGGAGCTCATTTAATTGCACAATACATGTCAATTATGATTCAATAAATATGGAACAATTCAATTCATCCAATTACGTTAGACTCATATCACAATTTGTTCACTCCAAACTTATTTATTGACCGAAAATTGGGTACATCTATTGATAACTCTTTTATCAATTTTGACCATGGTTGTCGCGTTGGTTGGTTCAGCCTGGTTCAACCGAAGCTGGTTATGAAATCGGCATGAACACTATCGGTATAGCCGACATGATTGATTTACGAATTCTAAGTAAAATGATGTTATTTTAGTGAATTTACATAATAAAAAAAGTTTAAGTATTATTTATTTTTGTGAATTTAGAAGTAAAAAATTGACATTATTTGTTAGACTGTGAGTAAATTCTCCTCAAATATGTTTCACATATGATTAAATTCATTGCATGTTAATGATTTTCACATTTTTACACATTTTGTTAAACCGACACTAACCGGCACAAACTGATTGTATCATCTGACGTACCATTCTACTTATCAAACCGACGTAGCGATATAAACCGATTTGACAACCTTGATTTTGACGGTCACTTCATGTCCATGATTTTCCAATCAATTTTTGTCCATTACCAATTGTAGTTACTGGCATACTATGCATCTGACCCAACTGCCATCCCTGTCGTGACTGTGTGGACTCTGGAGTCTGGACCGATGGGTCATGGCCTATTAACTCACAGGGCACGCCCAAAACAAATTAAAAAGAAAAAACCGTTCTGCATCTCCCAATCCTCTGATTTCCCGGCATTTTCCATCTGGACTCCCGCCAAAACGGAACCCTAAACCTGTAAAATTGCATCTGACCCAAATTGCCTTTCCTCAGGTCAAATTGCCATAGTTTCCTGTGCTCTCCGATTCTCTTATTCATCCTTTTCGCCCGTTGTGGCTTATTAATCGGGAGTTGTCTGTGATTGCCTTCAGCAAAAAGCTATGGACAACAATGGCGCGATTGGAAAAGGCAGAAAAAGGTGCCGAGAACAAGAAGCAGGAGATACTGCTGCCATTGACAGGTTAAGCACTCTTCCAGACCCGATTCTTTGTCACGTACTTTCGTGTCTGGACACCAAATCGGTCGTTCAAACCTCGGTATTGTCCCGGCGGTGGAGATGCACTTGGAAACACATCTCTGTCCTTAATTTCACTCGGGATTCTTTCAAACGATTTTTGGTTTTCGCAATCCACGTTCTGAAATTCTTGTGTGGCCGACATCCCGGAAATATCCAGAAGCTTAGCTACGTCGACGATGGAGCTTCCTGGAAAGAGCAACATTCCATTGTGTTCGACAAGGTGCTGGCATATGCTTCCACTTGTGATGTCCA